GTCGAGACCACTCAGAAGACCACATGCACGCTCCTCAAAAGCAGCAAGCTGAAGCTCACAGAACTAATGAGCTGGAGCGGGAGTGCAACAATCTGAAGAGACAGCTAGTGGAGGTTGAGAAAAATTGGGCTACTGAGCGACAAGCCGCAACGGAGAAGGTTGCAAAGCTGGAGGCCAAGTACGAATTCTTGAGAGAAAAGATAACAAGCAAACGGAGAACAATCACCATGATGCATTGAACAAATGTAAGAGATGGAAAGATTGCTATCATGAAGAGCTTGAGAAGATGAAGGCACTGCAAGAAAAGCACGACCAGTTGGAGGACCAACTGGACATCGCTAAACACGAACTCAACACAAAAGCTGAGGAAGCCCGCATTGCCGACTCGGACAGAGAGGCTGCCACCAACAAACTCAAAGAGCTCGAAAAAGAATGTGAACAGCTAAAGGAACAGCTGACTGTCGTCCAAAACGAACGCAATTATGAGCAACAGGCCGCAACCAACAAAGTCAGCGAGATGTCAAAGGAGTGTGGTCGGTTGAAGAAACAGATCATTACGATACAGAGCGAGTCGGCCGCAAAAGTCGAAGAAGCCCTTGATGCCCAGAAAGATTCCTCAACTCGGACGGTTGCCAAAATCGAGGAAGAACGTGAAAAGCTGAAAGAACAGGTGGCCACTGCTCAAGAACAATTAGCCACCCAGGCCAAGAAAGCTCTAGAGGCCGAAGTCAAAGTGAAATATGCCACCAAGAAAGTTACAGAACTTGAAGAAGGGTGCAAAGCGTTGGAGAAGCAGTTATTAACTTGTGAAACCCGGCTAGATGAGGAAGCCGCAGACAAAGCGGCTGTTACCGTCACCTTGGAGCAAGTGACAAAACGAAAAGCAGAGCTCGAGGAAGAGTGTAATCGGCTCAGGGAAAAAATGACTGCTGACACGAAGAATGCATCCGACCAAATTTCTGAGCTCAAGAAGAAATGCCACATCGACAAGGAGCAGGCCGCTAAATTTGAACAGAAATTCCTCGAATACCAGAAGCAAGCTGCCACCGTTGAATGCCAACTAGAGGCAGCTATTACCTCAGGGGAACGAAGTCGGGAACAGCTAGCAAGAACTGAGAGACAGCTGGCCATCAAGACCGAAGAAGCTCAGGAGGTCAACGCCAAACTACAGAATGCCGGTACAAGAATCAACGAACTTGAAGAAGCACGAAAACCTATCGAAAAAGAGATCACCACTCTTAAAGGACTGTTGAGCTTAGAAACAAGCGCCAAAAAATATCGTACTGCCGAACTGGAGCAAGCATCCATGCGAGTGAGGGAACTGCAACAACAAAATAAACATCTCCGCAGGGAACAGATTCAAACTGCTGCCGCAAAAGCACAAGCGCTTGACCAAAGTACGAAGCTCAAGGAGGAATGCGACCGTTACCAAGTGCAGGTCAACAATCTCGAAGAAAAACATCGCCGCTACAGCGAGGAAGTCACCAGACTAGAACAAGAATGCCTCGGTCACCAGAAGCGTATTTTCACTATTGAAAGTCAACTGGAAATAGCTGTGGAATTAGATAACCGAAGCCGCGCGTCCGTAAAACTGGTGGACGAGTTATCACAAAAGATTGCTGCCCTCAAGGAGGAATGCCGTCAATACACTCTTACGGAAACCAACGAGAATGACCTGGCGGTAGTAACCACAAGGCTCAACGCAACGGAGGAATTGGCAGCTCTTCGAGACGCTGTCAACAATGGCTTGAGCAGAAAGGCGCAGGCAGTCAGTATGACTTGTAGGGTTATCCGGATCAGCTTCGAAGGGCAATCGAATACAGGGACAGGCGTGTTCTCAGTTATCCCGATGCTTTTGTATACCGTTTCCGAGCTGGATAATGCCGTCAAGGAAGTCATAGACCGGTTGGGGTGCTTACCTACAAATTGAAGGGCTATGGGGTAACTACTAGATACCTCTAGGTACTAGAGGCCTTAATACGGTAGAACGAGGGAGTTTCAGTCTTATGAGAAGTTCCGCTATTACTGTGATAATATACCTAAATAGAGGTAAATGCGGTAGGAATAGAACTTGGAAAGACTACCGCTATAGAAGCGTTTTGTGTGCAGGAAACGCTTCTAACACCTATTAGAAGGTCTATCAGCAAAGACGAAATGCCTCAACTAGGAAGAGGCAAACAAGAAGTAGGTACTTTGCTCAAATATTGTAAGGATCCTCCCACAACCATTCATCAGCTCCTACTCCCACGTCAAAGCCCTGGCCAGCTGCACCCTGACCTACGTCCTCCTCAAATTTCTTTACAACCTGCTTCAAATCCTCCAACATGCTTGCGAGCAGATCGCTCGCCGCCGGAACACTGCCCTCCTTGACCAGCTCACGAACCACTTTTCCCACGCGACTCACTTGCTTGGCCTTGGTAAGTATGGCCGCGAGGCCCTTCTCCATGCCCTCTTCCTTGACTTCCAGCGCGCGGCCCTTCTCCTCGACTTCTCTGGTACGACGCGCAAGGTTCTGGGCTCTGACGTGGAGCTGACCCGTCTCCAAGTTGCGACGATTGACGAGGTCACTCAGCCAGCGGCACTCAAGCTCGAGCTCGGCATATGTCATCGTGTCGGATCCAGAGCTTTCTTCGGTGCCGGTTTCGCCCTCATCGTAAACCTCGATCTCTTCTGTCTCCTTGCCGATCATGTGCACTCGCGTGCTTTGTTGTGCCTCGACTTTGGCGAGGGTCTCGTCGATTGATGCAAACTTGAGCATCGGGATTGTGACCTGCCCCTGGTCTTTGACTTTCTTGTTGAGCAGTTGCTCGTTCTGGGCCTCTAGGTTTGTGATCTTGTTGGAGAGTTTGACTTTCTCCGCAGCACTGTCGTCCTTGAACTTTTTCAGTTCAGCTGCTAGGACACGCTGATGCGCAATTTCCGCCTTCAGATGGGCGGCACTTTCCTCGTTGACCTGCCTCAGCTTGGCTTCCAAAATCGCGACCTTGCTCGCCATCGTCTGCTCCGTGACTTCCTTAGCAATCTCGGCTTGCTTGACCTCTTCCTTCAGCCCGTTGATGACTTCATTGTATGCGGTTGCAATCGCATTTTTCTCAGCCAAGGCCTGTTCGTGCCCCTCGATTTCCTCGTGCAACCTGTCGATTTTCCTTGAGAGGTGCCGATTTTCGTTCTCAGAGGCAGTGAAACGGCGCCTAAGCTCCTCAGCAGTGTAGCCCGAATCGTCAGGGCAAACTGAGAACAATGTCAGGTGAGCGATCAGCAACTATTCAAACCTCTGTTGTGTTTCCTTAGTGTTTCTTTGTACGGAGCCACTTACTGTACTTGTGCCAAATCTGGCAATCCACAAAGAAGTCTTGAAAGTCGTTCGCGTAAGTCGGGTGAATTGCACTAAAGCACTGGACACGTGCAGGCGCAATCGACCTCGCCCACCATCTCTTCATGGACTCCATTTCTAGCTGAAGCTCTACTCTTGACACATCCGGGTGAAGTAAACGAACGTGTCGGAGTATTCCCATTAGATTCGGCACGTACACCCTCGGGGGTCCGTGGACGTGCGGCGACATTTGCGGTTGCTGTACCGCCGAATACGGCGGAGGAGGAACAGGGGGAGAGGGAGCCTCGTCTGACATCGTGATTTCCCTTGTTTGGTCGTTGTTGATCACTGACGAAAATGAGGAAGAAGATGATGAAGAAGATAGAAGGGGGAAGGAGAAGTGTACGGTCAAGATTAGAGTGGGCTTGAAGGAAACCGAGCTTGGCTCTTGAAAAGAGAAAAGAAGTGAAAAGGGCACTAATGTGAGGGTCATTAAAAGTACCCCGCGGCAGATAGCACGCAGACTATTGCGGCCTAAAACCTCGTCCTCGTCTGAAGTATGAAACGCGTGAGTTGAGATAAGGGGGCACTTTGGAGAGAGCATCATTAGCTCAAGCTCTGGATTAACGTTTGGTACAAACTCTTGCCAAGTAATGGCACACAATATGCAGTCCAGTATCGCTATTCTCGAGCCGAAACATCCTTAACACTCCTGTCTATTGTAATCCAAGTATATCAAGATGGATTTCCGTCTGGTGATTGGATATCCCACAGTGGATGCAAGCTCAACGGGTCAATACATGTAACCCATTGTCTGAACCATGCGAGTCCTGAGCCAAGATATCTGTTTGCGACTCTCAATGCTCTTGATCGCTCAAAGGGATGTATGATCTTGCGAGATCCACATGAAAGAGACCACAACTTGTGAGGTTAAGGCTCCTTCCTGCTTGAAGTGCAGATCTACCTAGCTGTCATGTCACATACAGGGGCTTGGGCTACCGTGTGCTTGTAACAAGAAGACGAACTCGTCCGCTCCGTTTGCTCGCCACATAGCCGCCGTGCCATCTGCCTGTCATCAGAAACAGCTACTGGATCATACCTGTTATAACTCGGAATTTCATCCGATAAAGGTATTATCAAACGTAATCCAAGGCATATTGCCTGTCTGTTGATGCGTTTTGTGTGTAAATAAAGACCTAGTGCAGGCGCTGGGTATGACGACCCTCGGCCGAGGTATCTTGCGTTGCTCAGGCTAGAGTGAGTATAATCGTGCCTAGGGCGATGAATGACGGGGTAACATGGGGTGGGTAAATAGGTGCAGTAGAGATACTTACTTCTACCGTTTGAATTTGGTATCTCTGAATCGTACCTAGAGGCACTCGTACCTGCTGCCTGACGGTAGCCCTCCTTCAATTTCTCACCTCTTCTTGTGGTTTTACCGTAGGTCTGTGGCTGTCACCGGCTGTCCAAGTTTACTGCCGGCCCTTCTTCAAGTTCTTGCCGGGCAGTGCCCCCCCACCCTACGGCTTGGTATAAATTTCCTCCTTCTTCCCCTCCATCCACGTATCTCTTTTCCTCTCTTTCCCACCTACATCACACTTACAAGCAAGCGTTGTCGCTTTCTGACCTTCCCCGGTGCATTCAAGGGCCTTTGTCACTTTCTTTCTACCGCCGCAAGCAAACCACGATGCCGATCCGTCCCCCTGGCAACCCTCACCCGGTCAGCGAGCCGTAAGTCAGCCCACATCACCTTAAATCTCGATGACTCAAGCACTCCGTCCCCGCTCACGTTATTTCCTTGCTTGTAGGACCCTTCGCTCGGTCTTCTGGGACCTAAACCATCTGGCCATGGGCCACTGGGGGTAAGTCGACATGATTCATGCCAACACCTAACTCTACCCTTGTATCTGAAGCTAGGTATCTCGTCTTCGTGCTGCTAATCATCAGTCTCACAGTACCGGGTATGAATACCTCCACACCTTTGACCATGCATTCCAGACCTGGTGTCGGCAGGCCGGCATCGACCCCGATACTCCGTTCCGCGCCAACGGCAGGATCTTGCCCATCGTTCCGCTGGGTAGTAGGTACGTGGCCAATCCATCTAAACATTTGCTGAACAAAAAGTGATATACTGCCTGCCTCGTGTCATGTCGCTAACCTTGGTCGTCTGCTGTAGCAAGCTGTAAGCGCACACCAGCGGAGGACCTGCGCGAAGAAGCGCGCAAGGAAAGCTATGTCACCGTGGGTGGCGTGAAGACTTTCCGCACCGAGGTCAGAGCAGCAGAGGTTCATGGACGCTCGAAGGCCAAGGCCGACACACATTCAATCCATGAGCTCATGGTCATTTACACAGACCCATCGGATATTCCACCTACGCCCAAGTCGCCTGCTTACAAGCCTTCGCTTGATAGCGACAGCCTCGGCCTCGCCACCATCAAAGAATCCTTCGCAGTTTGAACGTGGTCGTGGCGGATACAACAACTCGTACAACAACCGCCACAATGACTTGACCGAAGCTGATGAGGACTGTCGAGGAAGCACATGGCATGGAGGATTTATCAACCTCAGGGACTGGGTTAGATCATTAGACCAAACATCAGCCGTCTTCACATCTTGCTGCGTGCGCCTTGATACCTCTGCTTGTGATATAGTCAAGTGCATTGTTGATGTAGTGTGACTACCCCTGGAATTGCGTCACGGTGTAAGTTGTCTTTGAGTGCGGGTAGGTTTTCTCCTCATGATAGAGAGAGCCTGAGGCACTTCACTCAGCTTTTTTGCGTTGCACCGCTTCTTCCTGCTTGGCTTCCAGCAGGGTATGTTACCTACCTCGAGGACGGGGTGGAAAGCATGCGTGATTCGAAGGGAGATTTAAGTCTTGTTCCGCAACATGGTATGGATCTCAGCATTTCTCCAGGTGCTTCTTTCCTCGAGCGTTGCAGGCGAAGGTCTCTATCTCTTTACCGGATTCCTTGGCTTTCGTTGCCACCGGGTGGTTGACGACAATGCTCTTGGTGAGTACATCAGTCTGGTCGAGGGATGTTTGACATGAAGGGTCGATTGATTCATATCATGATACAGTGTCTCAAAGATCGACAGAATGACTAGATCGTTGGTACTCCAAAGGCCATTGGGAATTCATAATTGGGAACATTGGTGATTTGATGAATGCCGTAATCTGTATGGGGCACTGGGCACATAGGCTGTCGTATTAAGAGGAATATCACCCAAACTCCCGTCAACATAGGTGTTGTAGCTAGGTAATCAGCTCGTCTTCCGGCTGTTTGTGGTGGTGTCCTTGTTCTGCCATGGCCCATGTAAATGTCATCTTTCGTCGTGCCACAAGGAACGTCGATAGGAAGGATTGAGTTGCTTTCTGATAGCTGAATGGATTACTTGGCAAGCCTTCATATGCTGTCGGATGATGGCTGTGCGCATTTTTAAACAGTGATGGTTGATGGTGAAGAAAAGAAAGAAGGACGAAAGTCAAGAAAACGACCGACGTCGAAAGTGGGTCTCTCACGTGAAGATAGCACACCAATGATATGGAACTTTATTTCTGCTTCCCGTGGGGTTCGGCGGGTTTTCAGGGCTAGCGCCAACCGAAACCCACTGAAGCCCCTCTTCGTTCCGGGGCTTCCCCTTCCACCGTTCCACTCGCTGCAGCAAAATTTCGGCTGCTGTCACGTCATTGGGTTCCGGTCGATGTCCGAGGGAAAACGAGGGACCTGGACCCAATCACTCACACACACCACACCACATCAACTTTCTTGGACACCACTGCTGCACTCTCACCCTTTCTTTCACTTCTCACTCTCACTCTTCACACGTCAAGGACCACATACTTCCCTTACCCATCCGCCACCGGCCTTCCCAGTCGCCCGCCATGTCCTCCCCCGCAGAGTGCCGCATCCTCGTCTTCGCCTCCGGCAACGGCTCCAACTTCCAGGCGCTCGTCGACGCCCTGGCCGCCGGCAACATCCCCAACGCGCGCATCACCCGCTTGATCGTGAACAGGGGCAAGGCGTACGCGACGACGCGCGCCGAGAAGGCCGGGATCCCGTGGGAGTACTACAACCTGATCTCGCACGGGTTCCAGGAGCGCGGTGAGACGGATCCGGTGAAGCTGCAGGAGGCGCGCAACAAGTACGATGCCGCCCTGGCCGAGAAGGTGCTCGCGCTGGATGAGAAGACGGAAAGGCCGCATCTGATTGTACTTGCGGGGTGGATGTATATCTTTGGCAAGCACTTTTTGGCGCCCATCGCGGAAAAGGGAATCAAGGTCATTAACTTGCATCCGGCGCTTCCTGGTAGGTCATTGGATGAGAGGCTGTACGCTGTGGGAGGAAAAAGGGGGATTGTCCGCTGACATCTCATGCGCTCTGCACTAGGCAAGTACGACGGTACACACGCCATTGACAGGGCGTACGCCGACTTCCAGGCTGGAAAGCTGGAGAACAACAAGACCGGCATCATGGTGCACTATGTAATCGAGGCCGTTGACCAGGGTGCGCCGGTCCTTGTGCGCGAGATCGAGTGCCGTGAGGGTGAGAGCCTGGAGCAGCTAGAGGAGAGGATACACTCTCATGAGCATTCTCTCATTGTTGAAGCCACCGCCAAGATTGCCGGCGAGATCGTCGCCTCTCAGCAGGCGCAAAAATGATTTGGTATCGGCAGCTTGAATGAGGATGTGGTACAGCAATGATGAAAGACGCCAAGGAAATAGACACGAAAAAACCGGCACGACACAAGGATTTGAGCCATGTTGAACATCACAGGCTCAACCGCATAGATGTGCAAATCGACAGGGCAAATGAGGTTTCAAACGAAAAAGGACTAAGCATTGGATGGATACAAAACAGACCAAGGGGTTTATGCGTTTCAACACTAAATATACCTAGTACAGGGTACCGGGAGACCGGCGTGATGACATGAACTACAACGCTTCAAGGCTTCCCTCAACGATCAGAGCGGAGACGCGCGTTCAAGATGAAGGACGCTTTTCCGCGGCTATGTTCTGAATCGTGGGACAAAAACCCAAAACATTCATGTCGCAATCAAAAACGATGAGTCAGAAGAGGACAGGGATGGTTGGTCGAGCTTGTGCGAGCTGGGCAAAAAGTACAAAAAACATACAACACCAGGGATTCGCTGGTCGTCACCGACCCAACTACTAGTCTGGCCCTCACTGGCTTATCTATGGGAGAGCGGACGGGATCCCGAGTTTTCCAGTGGGTATGGTCGTATGTGATGATCGTGAACGAGGAATAGGTTGAAGTGTGTGTATTTGACAAAAGGAAGACGGCTGTTGTTTGTGATCTCTTCAATGTGGGTCCCGTGAAACACCCCTTTTTTAGTGTAAACAATCGAGGATCCACCAGCAAACCGGTACGGCCACTGACATAGTACTTCTATGATCCGAACCCAGGTATGTTGACTGGAGGAAAAAACCGACTGTTAGCCGATATGAGGTACATACCGAGACCAGTTAGGTACCAGGTATGCAGAGTCCGGGAGATGAGCAAGGTTGATGAAGCAAACCACCACCAAGTAAAGCCGTGCCAAGGTGTAAATGACCAGAAGCAACATGACAATGGTGTCAAAGATGACCTTGTAAACGAAAAAAAGAATTGAAAGCATCATGTATGCGACATGTTCCCATCTCTTGATCATATCTTCGTCAAAGCCTTCCCAGGGTTGTGGAAACAGTCGAATAATCTTGCGTATATTACACATGACCCATGATATTAGCAGGGAGATCCAGTCCTCGGGCTTGACCTTCGCTTGGATGTTTTGGAGGAAGATGTGTATCTCGGTGATCCTCCCAAACGGATCTTGCCAGAACGGCGGAAACAAGCTCCACGAGGCGACGAGGAAGGCCGGGATGATGGTGGCTGTCATGGATAGGCTCGACACCCTCCACAGCGTCTTTTCAATCTCGGTGAAGAAAGGTGCATTCCAGGCAACGCAATGGAGACCACCGTAGATAAATCCAAAAATGCTGAATCCCAAGCAAAATTCGAAGTGTGTGCCGGTTTCTCCAAACCGAGGAAAGTTTCCAATGCGATCCTTCAGAAGGTTGGAAGGGACAGTGTCGAAATCATCATAGAGAAGGGAGAGTTGCCACCGCCGGACGTCAGAATGGAGGACTCGCACATAAGGAACTAACCGATTGATCTCCGCCAACCGCCTCGCTGGGCTTGAATCGTCTATAGGCCTGTCAAAGAATCCAGCGCCACGTAACTCGATACTATCCCAGTCGTTACCCTGCTTCATATCGCAAGCAGCTTTCTCGTTGGCCCCAGCAGGTGTCAGTTGGACAAGGTGCAAAAGATCTTCGGATTTGTCCACCTTCAGGAAAAGAGGCTCTCGAGAAGTCCTACAAGGTTTAGCTAGTGGTTAGCAAACTTGGTGGCCAGAGGATACTGACAGGCAGCTGCGAATGTGTTGGAAACTCACTTGTGCCTGTCCGAGAAATGGTAGTCCAAAGGCGTGTAAACGAGATCTTCGAAAGCCGTCCGCCGAGCACCAAACATACCGAATTTTCTCTTGACTGGCCCCTTTCGGTTGATACTGATCCTGTGCTCAAGCTTTTCGGTATCCTTTGGTTCGACAGGAAACACGAAACTTTGCACATCTTTGTGGAGGTGTGCTGATTCTGACACTCTGTAGTCCAGCTTACTCTTGGTGCACATACTTGCAAGAAGCTTTGTCTCCACAGTTATACCTTGGGGGTCGAATGTCATTTTTTCCGGCTCGTCAATGCTCAACGGCTTGCTCCACAACAAGCTGTAGATGATCAAGGTACACATTGCCTGGCCAAAGGTGTTGAGTTCTAGTAAACTTACTGCTAGACCCTGGGCGAACCTCGTGAAGCATTGGGCACAGAACCATAATACTGCCAGACGATCATGTCTGTTAGCATCTGTGAGAATTACGACAAGTTTTGGCAAGCATAGTGCACTCACTTTGTAAGCAAACCAGTGCCTTGGCTAGGGTGTCTGCTTTGCTCTTGTTCTGTATGTGTTCGAGTGATGGCCTGGGAATCAGGGAGTATAGTTTTTTCTCCTTAAAGAAGGACAGGGCTTCCGGAGCCAACGTAAGCCGTGTTCGGCGTGTCCCGTTCGACTTCCCAGGGAGGAAGGATTGTATCTCCGCCTTGTCCTTGCTTCCGGGCTGATTCTTCATTTCGACAACGAAGCCGCCCATGACGGCCAGAAAGCTGTGCATCATTGTCCACTCGGGTGTGAAGGAGGTCTATGTCAAGGTGTTAGCTCCTGGCGACGTTCGTTGGCTGGTAGTGCAATATACCTCCAAGTCCATTGTGCACCTGCGACGCCTGAAGCAAGATGACATGCGTGTCCAAAACCGTGAAGGGTAACCATGGGTCTGTTTAGGTGGGTTCATTGCTTTGGTGAGCTTCTTTGCCTGTGTGTATTGCTGAAGCGCAGCAAAGGCAACCTTTTGTCGTTCAAAGTGTTAATGCAGACAAGACCGAAACAAAGGGGAGAACATCTTACAAGTTCTGGACAGACAAGGCCCATTATCGTCCATCCAATCTTGCGTAAGAACTGCCTCGTGCCGCTCTCATTGTGTTTAGGGAGATTGAAATGGAGAGAAGTCCATACACAAAGACTGAGTGTTACGCAACATGTTGAGAAGATGGCAAACGTTCCTCGGCGGTCAGGCTCTGGTTCAAAGCGAGGGTCAGCTGGGCCGGTGAAAGCACTTCCGAAGATTCCAGAGTGGAACATTGCAGATAACTTGAAGTGAGAGTAGAAGAATGAAGGGCGTGAGTCAGGGGAGCGAACAAATCTCGGGGTGTCAACAAGGACTATGATGCAAGAGTCAGCAGTAAGTCCAAGATAGCTGCGAAGGGAGAAGCCCGCAATATATGTGGGAGAAGGCTCTCAAGAACCTCTTATTCGTACCGCTCCAGCTATAGGTAGGTCTCGGGTGTTGTTGTACGACCAAGGAGAAGCATCTAGACTTAGCCCAGGTCGCTAGGCACAGTAGAAACCAGCCGTGGCGTACCCTACACCACTAGCCCTGAATATGAGTCCGCGAACCATCAATTGCATCACGATAGCCGAGGGCTGAATTTTGAACAGCTGGCAGCCAGGCCTATCAGAAAAAGGAAGTATCAAAAGCACACCTATGGTCGTGAAACTTGTCAACTGGAGGCTGAAAGCCACGAAGGCAGACTAGAGCTAGTGCATGCATTCGACCCTAGGGGCTTGCGCCGGACATGATCGGGGAGGGGCACGTCAAAAATGGAAAATTTAGGGCGGGTGACGGAGTGGATTGACGAACCTGAACGGTACATCATCAGCCTCAACGCTCCATTAATACCTAGCAAAGAGGGGTTTCCTACGGGGTGAATGTACATAATGCATAGCGGTCCAAGCTAACTCACAGCAAACAGCTTCAACACGGCCTAACCCGAAGTACGTGAGCATGACAAGGCGACCAATCCCAAGGACGAGATATATCGTATCTAGCTCGGTGAGCAAGCAGCTGGCTTGCAGCCGCCTTTGCGCCTATTAGGCTAAGGGGGTAGAAGTCGAGGAGGGGGGCAGAGCCTAGAACGGCTTGTCCACTCTGTGGCGGCGAAGTGGTGAGGTCAAAAAAAAGAAACAAAAGCAGTGGAATGCTAGAAGCTCAGTGTCAAACGTTGCTTCGGACATAGACTGTAATCGGAAGTGCTGCCTGTCAAGGTCGAAGTGTCGTCGCAGAATTTGTCTCTATTACCCCTCCATCGATCCAATTGAGAGGATAGGCAGGGACGGGGTGTTACTTCCTGGCTTGCGCAGAGTCCAGGTGCAACATCAAGAAGACGGGAAGGAAGCTGCCTCCCACGTTACACAACTTACCTCTATAGGCAAAGAGGGGCAATCATTCGTTCTTTCCAAACTCGAACTGAATGACTGACAATTGTCACTGCCGTGTTACCCCGCCCTTTTCCCTTACCAGCTAGAGCCCCCATCGAGGTACTCGACCCTGAACCCTTGCGGTTCTCGCGATGTGCTCAACTTTCTTCCCGCATCTAAACCATGATAGCGTCAAGGACCAGCGGCATGCTCGCACAACGACACCTCATGGCCCAATGGCCCTCAAGATCACAGCTCCCTTTCCGAGCAGTTGTTCCCCTACAAATCTCAAACCGAATGAATCACCTGTCTCGGCCTCAAATCAGATCCTACTATGACGAGCCAACCACCCCCTCGCACCTGGACGCCATCTACCGCGACCCCAAGTACTCGCGCATCCTGCGCAAAGTCTACGGCGCGCCCTTCCAAAGCCTCGCCAAGCCGCGAATAGACGAATGGTTTGCATATTGCCTCCAACGTACCTCCCCCTATTCCGGAACACAAATGACTATCCGAGACCGCACCCGCGCCAAACACGAATGGGCCCAAGAAGTCCTCCACCTGCGCGAACCCTACAACCGCACGCCCTGGCGGTGGGACTCGCTCAGTCAGCGGTCCGAGCCGCCGGTGGGTGTGCGGCAACCTGGGGAGCCAGTCGCGGATTTTCTGGACAGACTGCCGCCAGTTCCGGGGCCAAAAATGGGCGGAAAGAATGACCGGTTTGTGCCGCGGTGGTATGTGGTTGAGAACCCCAACCGGGAGGCGTACTATGTAAAGGGGTATTTGGATCATGGGAAGGCGCATGAGCCGCATCGGTTTGGGCTTTGGATTGCGAACCTGAGAAATGCATACATGACGTTTTTTGAGCAGGTGGCGTATAAGAGGAGGATTGGGAGGATGAGTGAGGAGAGGTATCGGGAGGAACTGAGGGAGTTTATTGGGAGGAAGGCCAGGCAATTCAGGTTGGTAAGAGGGGAGGTACGTACAAACAGATCCTTGGTGTCTTTACTTGAATGCCAACTGGCTGTCAAGCTAACTTGTTTTCCCAGTGGATGATTTCCGTCCCAACATCTGAAGCGACCAAAGTCTGGTCGGAAATAGCCCAAGCAACCGACCTCAACATCCTCGGCACCTCCGCCCGGATCGCCACCTCTTCCCTCATAGACTACCCAAACCACCAGCTAATCGCCGTCCAGACGGTCGACTTCTCCAACCACGAAGATGTGGAACGCGTCCTTCGCCGCCTTGAGGGCATGGGCATCGTAGACCGCACCAGCACACCGCCCATCAGCTATCAAACTGAAGCATATTACTTTCTCGGTATAGGACCCAACAACATCCACAATCTGCCTACAGCCTTTTACACCAGCGAGCAGTTCTTCAACGACGAACTGAGATCCATTTTAAGACGGGGGCGGCCAGGGCAAATCCTGGATGAATCCTTGCTGCGAGGAAGCGAAGAATTGCAAAGGAAGCAGCAGGAGGAGCAGGAGGAACAGGAGGAAATTGCGGACTTTGGCCGAATTTGGAATCAGGAGCCCGAGGAGAAGAAACGGATGTGGATACCGCCGCAAGTGATGGTGCAGAGGGATCCGAACGTGTTCCAGGAGCTGGAGATCGCCAAGGCGGAGGCGGAAAGGGAGAGGACTGGGAGGAAGAAGAAGGTGAAGAGAATGACGATGAAGGAGTGGAAGGAGACGGAGGATGATGATGATCCGGTTGCGATGGCGTTGAATGCAAAGAGGGTTGAGTGAATGGGCCGGTAAGCGGTTCGTGACGGGTCAAGTACTTCTGTTTCTTGGTGTTTGACTGCTATTAAAGAGTGGTATGTAGAATTTTGAAGACGTTGTCTAGCTTGTGCTTCCAGATGTTGTTGCCGGAGCTGTCGCCTGGTGCTTGTCCTGATTTCGGTCCCCTGGCCTTTCTCTTTCTGGATTAACTACATCTTCGATTGGACGTCAGGTCCGTTGGTGCTACTTCTGCGTCATTCTCTACAGCGTGGTTTGCCCGCAATGCTGTCCAGTCGATCCGCCTTTGCGCTACATCGATTGAGGTGTCTCGGTCCGTCATGCTGGCGTCTGATATAGTTTCCAAGTCTCTCACTTGCGGGACTGCTCTCAGCCAGCGAGCCCGAGGAAAGACGCGGACGAGCAATGGCTTTAGACAGGGCATGCAAGCGCATATGATGGCGACGTTCATTTCTACTATGCTGTTACGGTCAAGAGTGTGACTCTGGTTAGCTTGACTAAACGAGTGTCGCCACGGGGTTTGAAAAGACTACTTGCCCCCAGATATAGTTGAATGCCAGGCGCCAAGTGCGATCTTCATCTTCCCTATCCAGGATGGTCAAGATGAAGCGAAAAAGGCTGACTCCCAGCACGCTGGATTGCCTTCGTGTCAGCTACAGCCTTGGTCGAAAGTGTGAGCTGCGAGAACTTACAAGCCGCCTGTCCCCAGGATAGCGCCGATGGCAACCTTTTGAGCAAACGCCACTCTCAAGGGCCTGATGATAAATATGGGCAGCAACAAGATAATGACGTCGGTCACAACATTGATTCCCAGGAGCGATATATACCAGGTATCACTTTTCACACATTTTCCTCCCTCCCAATGCTTCCAGAAGGTCTCGATCGGTTGGCACCAATAAAGGACGCCTGTTGCTCCGACAAAATTGAAGGCAAAGCCGAGAGCAATGGTGAAATAGACGGTATAAGTGAAGCCACGGCTCGTTGTAAAGCGCAGGTAGAAAGAGAGAATTGAGAATTTGGTGAAGAAGTTGGCAATTGGATACGTGCCAGTGACTCCAAATGCGCTGACCTAAAGGACGTGATAAGTATCGGGGGACTGTTTCGGAGATGGGATATGAGAATGACATACGAGAAGATACTTGGTGTAGGTATTTTTGAAATCTGGAAGGTCATCCAAATGCCTACCAAGCCCATATTGTGTTTCTAGGTGAACACCCCTGAGATTAGCCCCTTGTCTCAAACTTTAACCTTGGTGGTGCACAGGAGAGACGAGGACACATACGTATCGTTACAGATACTGAGAAGAGGATGGAGAATATCTGGGGATAACATTAGTTCAGCCTGTATTTTTAATGGGTATGTATGCTCATATGGTTGGTATCGTACCAACGCAACGAGAATGTACCCTGTGTTGTATGCAGAGTTAGCGAGGCTGCAGCATTTCCCCTAGGATCAATATACCTGATTCCGGGAGGCAGGTTCTTTCAGCTTACAATCTTCCTTTGGCTTGGATTTTAGGATGCGGCGGGTCGTGTAAAATCTAGCGCAGACAAATATGGCGGGGAAGACGGGAACAAGCCAAGCAGTTACAATAAGTTGAGGGACAAGCGTTTCACCTTCACCATGTGGCTTCCTCATTCGCGCGACCAAAACATTGCTGGATGGGCTTTGATGTTGGACGTCCATGGATGGAGACGTGCAGTTCAATGCCAGAGTGCGGCCTTGCACAGAATGAGGGCGGCGTGATATCGCAGTCTTTAAAAGGACATTCGCTTGCAATCTCCTATCTCGTCCGCTAGGACGTTTGTTCTTGTCATTCCCACACTCAATCGCCTATGCAGTCTTGGCAAGAGGTGCGTGCGTGCATACATATACACACATACACCGCACTTCTGTATTGTACAACTTCGTCAAAATTCATCATTTGACGACAATTTCTAAATCATTTTGAAGTTATTTTAATATATAAAGTAATTAAAATACTAGTAATTAATCAAATCTATTGTAATAATACCTCCTAAGACGATTTTCAATTTAAAACCCACTGGTGTAAAGTACTTCTATACTCGAAGCAATATACTAATAGTCTACTTTAATAAAGATTAAGATAAGGAAGATCCTAGCCTAATAATTCTAATAACTCTATAATACGCTTCCTTTCGCCCTAGAAAGAAGAGCCGTAAAGCTAAGTAATCTATTAAAATTATCTTTCAAATTATTCTTCTTAAAAAGAAGGCTACTTCTATTAAGATTGCCCTTAAAAAGGCTACCGTTAAAAAGATTGCTATTAAAAAGGGGAAGGCTTCTACTAAAGATCCGGCGTTAATAAGGTAATAGCCGCTTTTAGTATTAGTAATAGTAGTAGTAAATGTAAAGGAGGAGGTAATAATTTACTAATTAATATTAATATTATTGATAATATTAATAGCAGTAATAGTAGTACTAATATAGAGACTATAGATAGTCTATTATAAACTATATTAAGGAGGGATAATTTTAGAGGTCTATACTAACTATACCTTCCTCCCCTATACCTACTATACCCGCTATTATACTAATATTTCCCTCCTTACTTTCAATTTCCTTAAGTTTAGTTACCTCCTCCTTATACCGCCGGCGGCTCTATAGCTATTTTAGTAATTATAGGTAATTATAATTATAATATAGCGGGCGCTCTCCCCCTACTAGGTAAAATAGTAATTATCGATTTATATACGCCCTTAAACTACTTTACTATTATATTCTATAGGTACCCGACCGACTGCGAGACTCTTATTACTAGGCGCGCTAATATTAACCTTCCTCTTATTTCTATAGTAATTATAATTTTTATTTAGCTACTAGTACTATTATTAATTATATTGCTGTTAATAGCGGGCGAGGAGGACGAAGGTAAGGAAATTAGAAAATCCCTAATAGAAATTAGAAAGTTATTTATACTATATCCGTCCGTACTCTCAATTTTCAGTCTTCGTTCGTTACTACTACCTTCCGCCCCACTTAATCAATTAATTAAAGAGATTATTACTAAGTTTTTTAAAGCGTTCTATAAACGTTATTGTATTAGAATATTAATTAAAGTAATACTAGTATATAGAGTTTTAATTGCTTTAAGGAATAATTTTGGAATAAAGAAACGCCTCCTAATATATTTATATTTAGAGAATAGTTAGTAGAATAATTTACGAGGCTGGGGTTTAATTACGACTTTTATATGGTATTTAGGGACGGTATTAAAAATTTCCTTAAAATTAAGCACATAGTATTAGTAATATAGTTAAACTATAGTAAGTATGCCTTTTAACCCCTATTACTGTGATTTAATTAATTAGTATATATTTTAGACCTTTAATTTAATACTATATTCGAATATAGCGTTATTAGAACTCTCACTTCTATAGTGGGTAGTACTATTATTAACAGTCCTAGCGAGGGATAATAATATTATAAATCAATTTATAATGAAAGAGGGGGGTTTCTAGCATTTTAATATTATTATATAAATAAATACAATTTCTAACACTTCTAACACTTTTAATACTTCTAATATTTCTAGTATTTTTAGTATATAATTTAATTTAATATATATAAATCTATTTCTCCCTTCTATATTCTCTACCGCCGCCTAAATATAGTACCCGTCTCTCTATATTCGATTAGTTTGTTAATATACAACTCCCTATACTCTTTATTAATATTATTAGATCGATTTATTACTAACTTTACATTCTTAAAGTAACTATAGATTTACTATACTCTATACCCTACGTCCTACGCTAATTGTTTAAAGAACGTAGTAAAGTTATTATTTAATATTTTATTACTACCCTTGTTATAATATACCCTTTTAAACTACCGTTTAAAGTCATTAAAATATACTTTGATAGAATGAAATTTAAGAAAGTATAGTAATAAATATTATAATAGAACCCCCTTCTAATTATTCGTATTTTAGAATTCGGTATGGGGGTATTAATTAGCGTTATTTATTACTAAAATACTATTACAATTAAGAAATAAATTTATTTTAGGGAATAAGTATTTTACTATCCAATTCTAAACCCTAATTAAGTTTATTATATTTCTAAATATTAATATATCGAATAGCCTATCTACTATAATAGTTAGAAGGAAGTAATATTATATACTATAAATAAATTTGTTTAATACTATTGTAATAACGCTATAGAGTACTTAATTAGTACGATAAATACTATTCCTTTAACCTATACTAGATTCGTTATAAAATACGAATATCTCTATAGTAAATAAAGAGATTTTTAATATTTATTTAACTACTAATATAGGGGATTATTATAATACTTTTATATAGAGTCGCTTCTTCTTCCACTTCTCCTATCGAAGGTGCCGCCGTACGGTCTCGGTCGAAACGTACACATTATACTCGTTAGCTAGAAAAGTATAGATTTCGTCGAAGTATAAATCGGGTTTTAATATAAAGAGGTTTATAACTTCCTTTATAATATTAATTATAATTATAAAGTATAGGAAGTAATATAGTATATATTATACTTTAAACGCTTATATAGGAAGCTTTCTAATATTTTAGGAAATTTGTAATAGTAGAAATACCTTATTAGTATCCGTTAAAATATACTTATATTTCCACATACTCCTTACGCTTATATTAATAGTTTTAGTAATATTATTAGAATACTTATTATTTATTAGTATTATTATTATTAATACCTTCTAGCGGGTATTAAGGTAGTATATTATATCGATAACAGTTCAAAAGACAATGTAAATATTAAAATAGACAATTGTACGATGTAGAGTATTAAAATATCGACTTTTTACACCAGTTTTGGCTAGATTTCGATATTGAACGATTGAGTTGAGTCGTGTAAAGCGATATCAAATGGCCAGATTTGTCAAATGCGGTGTGTGTGTGTGTGTGTGTGTGCACGTACATACCCCGCCAAGACTGCACAGGCGATTGAGTGTGGGAACATGAAGGTCAGACAAAGTTAGCAAAGGCCCACCCCGTTTGTGACTTGCGGGACCGACGCGCGAGGGGATCTAGACAGAAGGGGTTAGGCTGGAGCGGGTAGAAATTGGCGTTTCACTGTTCTCAGCCCAGACCATTCCTCAAACTGCTACACTCCTTTCCATAGTCCGTAGGGCGTCCACGATCACCGCTCATCGCTTCCAGGCACTACAGTAGTGCTAACGACCGAGGGTTTGTGATGGTAATGGAGCGCGTGGCGGCGAGGATCGAGGGATCGATGGAACTTTTTACACGCTAGTTCCGGGCATGCACAACGGTACGGGTCGTTGCCTGGCCTCACCGTGCCGGATTGATGAGGCCGGGGTTCGGATTGTGATCGACCCAGTGATCGAGATTCATTTGGTGTGCTTACTACGTAGACATATTCATTGGAAGAGTGATGAAAGGGTGAGCTTGAAGACTAAGACACGATGTTCGATCGAGGAAGGAAGTTGCAGTGTAAAAGAAGCAAAGGTACCCAAAACATTGGTTCGTTAGTTGCATGGGATGTGCGCAGAGGATTCTACGATTGGTCACCTGCAGTCGGCTTAATCACCTAGATCAGCCCCTATCTCGTTAGGGTGATTCGTGCGGGAAATAGAACGCGTCGCGTATGCCCCTCTAGGTACACCTAAAATTTACCCCGCCATGGGTGGGAACCTTGATGGCCTCTTTCGGGTTTTCCTGGATTCGTCCTTAGCTTTTACACTGCAATAAGTCATTCCTTCCAATATCCTGGAAAGTGGAAGCCACGGCTTTTTCTGGGTTTCTGAAAGTTGCATTTCTGCATTCTACCTACCTACCTAGCCCTAATGTGATCGGCGGCATCCTGCACACTGCAATGTCTCATCCGCCGCCATTTGTAGCGGCCCCTGCCGGCGATTCGCAATCCGACGTTCCTCAAGTCCGCGACCCAATTCCTGGTCCGAATGTCAAAGCTGTGATGGTCGATACGGCAACACAAACCGACTATCCTCCATTGTACATCCCTGTACCTCCGCCAAGGGTGATACTGCAGAGCTCGCCATTCTTTAGAGTCTTCCGAACCGCCTACGAGAAAGCGGATGCCTCTTTGGTCCGCGAGTCACTGCTGTCGTGGCCGGAAAAATACTTACATCCAGAGCCTTCGGCGATCCTTTTCGGCCTTCCAGGTACCGAAGGGACATGCTTTAATTCCCTCCGACAATTAGACCACGATGCGGCGCGACGGATGGAAATTGTCTGCCGCGGCGCAAGAGCTGCTGGCTGGGACGTGTTCTTCGCCAGCGTCAGGGCCTTGTGGTCTGGTCCCACCATCTCAAAACCTTACCAGAGTTTTCTGCGTTGGCCCGATCACGACCCAGAATCCGGCCTGTTCGAACATTTGCGTTGCCGAGATCTTACTAGCGCCTTGTTCGACGTTGAGATCATGTCCGTATACGACTTGGATGGGGGAGTCGTATTGCCGCCGTGGGCTCACGACCACCATGCAACAAGGTTTTCCCTATTACACACGGTTCATGGTCTAATACACGAGGAACTGTTCCGTAACCAGCCTGATGCAGAATACCCGGTGCAGCCGGGCCTTGGACAGCCTGACCGTAAATGGACCCAGCAAACCTGGTACAGAGATGTGAGTCTGCCACACTAGCTGAATGTTTGACCGTGTGCTAAAGTGTTATATGGCAGACTGTCCTCCTCATACCTCAAGCGCAATCCCCATACGTACTGTCTTCCGCGGTCGTCGCTCCTTCACCCTGGCAGGACCTTCAAATCCAAAATATCGCAAAGTACTTTCTGGGATTAGCACTTCAGCCCCATCCCGGATTTCCCAAGCCCAGCCTGACAGTCCACAATGCCTATCTCGTCGTTGAAATGTTGTACCAAGTTATGACTACTGCCTCGTGGGGGTCGCTAAACGCTGAAGCGATGATGACCCCCGTAGTGAAGTCTCAAATACTCATGTTGGCCGGCGAGCAATGCGACCATTCGCTCTTTCTTCGGGCTTGCACTCGTCAAAGCGCTTTCGATAGTGCCCCCGACCATCAATCCTTCATCCCCTGGCTCCATCGTCTCGTGAAGAGCAGGCGCCTGATGAATTTTTGGGCTCCATATCTCAACAAATGGTTTGTCCCATCGTCTAGCATCCACCACACGTATTCAAGTAGCTGACGTGTAGCCAAAAATGAGTAGCTTAACCCAGGTCATCTTGTCTTACGAGAACATGCATGATAGAGTCATGTTCGCGCTCAACTTGCCAAAGCAAATCACTGGTCAACATTCCCTACCCTACCTCCTTGCGTCATCATGGCTCAAACCGTTGCTCATTCCCGACGACTTGCGAACAAGTGCCCTTTGCTCACTAAAGGATGGAGAAGCCCTAGCCAAGGCCGCGCTCCGCTTTGACAGCAAAGCGGCTATTGTTCAAGAGTATGCCGAGTGCCCTTCATAGCGTTCAAGCATAGTTGCTAACTTTGAACTAGACTCATCACGGCTGTTGTCAATCAAATGCAGCTGCCCACGGAGCCAATGCCATGGATCGCGGGTTTTATCAAATATATAGGCACGTACATTGGCGCCCGAAACAAACGGCTACTTTGCGAAAGGTTCATTCAATTCGATCACTTCCTCACAACCCGACACATATCCAAATACGCATCTGGCTGTCTGTCTGAAGACATCGCTACCTCTATCATTGACTTTCTCCTATACCTCACAAGGGTGGTCGATTACAGCCTCTACCCAGCGTGGATAGCTGGTCTCAGCAGATCGATCAAGCAATGGGACTGTCTTCACCCTGACTTTGTGTCCTGTCTTAGTAATATCTTTACACATGCAGCCAGAATTGGGCGGTTAGGAGACCCAATATGCGCCGCATTGCTGAAGCAGTGGTACCGGATACTGGTCAAGCCAGTGCAAGCTCGCTTAAACTGTCCCCAGGATCTGTCACGGAAGCCATCCCAACCGGTTGATCCCAGAGACCATATTGCCATGGAAGGGTACCGCTTTTTGGTGGATGCAAGCCAAGAGACAGCGAGGTTCAGATGGACAGCTCTCGAACGGGACTTGGCCCAGTGGTTGTGGAAAGACACCCGTGTTTCCACCAGTCTTGATACGTCCACGCAGCCTCCTACTTTGGTGGTAAAGAAGCGCTCTACATCCAACGACGACTGGCTTGAACGGAGAAAGATGGCTGCGAAATCATGCACAGAATTGGAAGAGATTCGCCACAGCATCCTACAGTATGACCCAGCATACGGCGGCTTGCTCACAGCGAGAGATCTCGTGGACTGGTCCTTTGCGGAGGGTACCGGTCCAGATCCAGCATGGATCTCTGAATATGATCCAGCGGATCCATCCATCGAAGAGCCGTATACACCAAGACGTCCAACGCTAGCCAGGATCGTCTCGCCTGGAAGCTCCCCCACATCTGCTTCGCCTGCCGGGAGCACAGTGACTCCGCGGAACCCTGAGCCAGATCAGGACCGCGACAACAAAACAGACTCAGAGTCGAAGGAGCTCGATAAGGCCGAAGCTCTCAAGTCCCTTACACTCGAAGAGTACCTGAAGCGCAGGGCCAGGATGAAACTGAAGGGGCGATGGGACCAACTTCATGAAGAGGACGAGGAGGATTTGCAGGAGCTTTACTTGCTTCTGGGGCGTCGCAAGAGTCTTCCAGAGGGAGCATACATTACCGAGGAGGTGATGGAACTCGTTGAAAGTCCTTCCGTTGGACTTTGTTCTTGGTCGCGCGGGAGTGATATTGTCGGAACGAGACGCATCTTGGAGACATCTTGGATAAGGCGACTTTGGGAACACAGAAAAGGGATCAAGTTGATCACCCCAGCCGATGATCCAACCTATGACCACTCTCCGCACGGGATCAAAAGGAAGCGCGACGATGACGATTCAGAAAGCGAAGGCTTATGGTGATAGGTGATTTATCAAGTTTTTTTCTTCTTTTCTTTTGCCGTCTTGTACATATTTACGGATACCCCCCAAAACAAAAAATCGGCAAAAAGGGTGCCGGTAAACGGAATGTCCCCGATCATGCATCGCTCGCCCATACCACCCATCAGCATATCATGCACACCACCAACATTCTCCATTCCCACAAGCCTCCTACTCTTCATCCTCATAAAACACCAAGCACCTAACCTCGATACTCTCCCGTCCCGGTGTCCCCTCGGGCGTCGCGGGATCCACAAAAGCCGTATGCGGCGTCCAGCCCGCCACTCCCTTCTTCCCCTTACCCCACGGCTCCTCCAGTCCCTCGCCCCAACTATCAAAGCACTTGATGAGCACCACCTCCTCCGGCTTCATATCCTTGACATAATAAAACTTGTGTGTCTCATTCGGAACAACGCCGTACGTCTCCCCCTTGACTTCATACCCTTCCGTTTTGGGGTATGTCTCCTCAGCAGGGGCTACCTCCTTGCCGCGATCATCGCCGTCGTCTTCAGGCTCCGACCGCTTGGGGTAGAGCAGATCAATAGGAACCAGATCACCCGGGGACGTAGAGCGCCAATCAATAAAGGCCAGCGGGAAATCGGTCGCCGGGTGCGAAATGGGCCGCCAGACGTTGATGATTTGGTACCTCCCCTTCAGCAGCTTCTCAGCCTCTTCGGGGGGAGACACATGTCTCCGGACGCGCGTGGCGGCAGCAGCGGGCGTCTGATCGACATGCACCTGCTGCACGGGCCTCCTCGCTGCCGACCCGTTGTTCCTCCGAATGGTGTGGTCAAAGATCTCGACGCGCTTGATCCCTGGCAACTTCTCTCGCAGCAAGGCTTCCACCTCGGCGTAGTACCCCGACCAGATGGCGCGCTCGTCGGTGAAGGCCGTTTCCTTGGCTGGGTGGGTGTACAGCGCGAAGCCGGAGACGTCGACGCCGAAATCTGAGGGGGAGGATTCAACAGCCGAGCGGAGGTCGTGAACGGGCTTGGAAACGGAGACGCGCGAGAAGGACGAGTAGTCGACGTCTACTTTAGACCAGGACTTGATGAAGGGGGTGGTGGAGCGGTTGATGGTTGCTGGGTCGGCGTAACGGAAGGTACCGGTTGTCATCTTGGCGGTTTGGGTTGGGGTTGTGGTGATAGTGCGAGCGGGTTGTGTTCGGAATATGTTGTGCCCAGGAATGCGCGGAGTTCTGATGGTGGTCCTTATAAGTGAAGTAGTGACTGCTTGCATTGACTACTGCCGCTGTGTGAGATTGATGGTGATGCAGATATGTGTGTGTGTGTTATAAATGCTTCTGCTCCGTGTGAATTTTGACGGCGTCCGGGAGATGTTGTCGTACATCGCGGGGAGTTATATATATAACGGTTCGGACGACTGCGGGAAAGGCGGGATAGGCGGGGCCCGGATTGCGCCACCGGTAGTCCCGCTGGCGATATCTCCACAATCGCCGAGATGGATTAGTAATAACATTGGCGGCTTGGTAATGTTGTTGTGATTGCATCAGCGACTTTGTTTTCATGGCGTTTCTGTAAATCTCGCCAGATATTAATGGTCTTAGTATATGTGACTGTGAGGGAGGTATTCGTGTAGTGGATTTGTCAACGTGGGTGTGAAGGAACTGGATTGTGGTGGCCTTGGGTTGTTGTCGCCATGCTGGGAGTGGGAAAAACAACGGAGGAAAGAACGTTAACAGAATCACAAGGGACTTTGCAGTGCAACTGTTAACGACTCAGTTGCTTGCTTGCTTTGCTTGTAGGTCCGCCGCGTCTCCCATTACCACAGGCAAAATTTCATGTCGAACGGGCAGATGCCCCTGTGTCCATGGAGGTCTCCGAGTCTCGAATGTGCTCTGTGTCCCTCAATTTGCCTTTTTTCCTCCTACTCTCTGCATGGCGACAACAACCCAAGGCCACCACTCAGCTCACCACTACGGTCGATGGTCAAGTGGATTACTGAGGTAAACTCTATGTATTTCGGCCGATGGGATTCTTCAGCGCATGCGCATGTTGATGCAAGGGTCTAGAACTACAGACATCGCGATTCGCGTTTCACAATGCGCTGCGGCCGTCATGCTGTCATGCATCGGCCGAAACGAGCAGTACATGCCTAGAGGTAGGTACCTTATGTACAAGTGGGCTGTAAGACACGGATCGCATTTCTTCATGCACTCACTGCTAACTGATGGCTGCACCTCACGAGACAAGCACGCACGTGTGGTTCATTTTGCAATGCGATAGGTATGTGGTATTGTCAAAAGATCGTGACGACCTTTTTATGTATGGTCTTGTATTAATGAGGTATATCTCTAAGGTGGTATCGTGCTAGTCCCGAGGCCTGTCTGTTCCTTTCTTTCTTTCTTTAGGAACCCCAACCAACCCGCCCAACCCGTGCATATAACGATCGTGTGTGGTATATGTCATCATGATATGTAAGTCATGGTCTTCTTGTCTTTCGTAACGTTCGAACCCGCCGCGTTTCCGTTCGTGGTTATAAAAACATCAAAAATATTACGCCTTTTGTTTTTTTTTTGCGCCGCGCTTGGTATCCAATTTGCAATAAAGATAACAACAAAAAATTCTGTACAAAGCAACAAAAACTTGACCAAAGAAAAAGAAAAAAAAGACAGTGAATGAGCCAGCTCAACTGTCAAAGATGGGGCCATAGGCAGGAATGCCTCGCATCTCGCACCCATGCACGATTTTCTTGGTCATCATGGGGTTGCTGATGCAGCACACCGCCTCGGCGTTGAACTCCTTGAAGAGCCGGAGAACGATAGGCAGCATGTCCACGCGACCCGTGATGGAGGTGTCAAGAATGACGGGGTTGCTATCCATCCTGTGAACGAGATCCAGGGTGCGCTGGCCATAAGTCTTGAGGGGAGACTTGGTTTGCCAGATGACGCGCATATCGGGCCTGTTGGCATCCTCGATGAAGGAGAGGCAGGGGCCAATGCCGGAGCCGGTGGTGACGACGATGATCTTGGGGAACATGCGAAGCACGTAGCCGAAGCCGTAAGTGGGGACGCCGCGCTTCCAGAGGTGGGTGGGCTGGTCGTTGATGGTGGACTTGGTCCAGTCGCCGACCTTGGAGACGATGCACGAGAACTTGGCGTCGGGGGTGTCGAACTTGTCCGTGAAGCAGGCGAAGCTGTGCCAGTCCTTGAGAGGGTGCTTGGCGACCGAGATGCCCTGGCCAAAGACGACTTCGGTGTGGCTGAAGTGAAGACGGATGGCGTGGGCGGAGAGAGGCTCGGGCTTGACGGGGATCTTGCGGAGCAGCAGCCACGGGTGGATGGTGGCAAGCGTGAGGACGATGATGATCCAGAAGGCGGGGAGATGAAGGAGGAAGTGACCCAGATTGGCCTCCTGCTTGCCCAACAAGATGAGCAGGATCCAAAAGAGGACGAGGATGATCCAGTTTGCGAAGCGGTGGGTCAGCTCAAAGTAGTCGTGCAACCTCATGCGGAACGTGGGGTAGGCGACGATGACGATGGAGAGGAGGAAGCCCAGTACAAGCCAGACAAAGGTCAGGACGGTGGTGTTGATGACGGATGGCGTGTAGTTGTATGTGAAGACGGCGGCGAAGCCAATGTACCAGATGACCGATGCCACACCTGTCCCGCTGTGGACGCCGCCAAAATGGAAGATCTTGCACGCCAAGCGGCGGATCCTGATGGGGGCAGATCTGGGGATGGATCCGAAGATGAGGAAGAGGGCGTTGATGACAAGGGGTTGACGGCACAGACCGCAGACAGCGATGTTGACGGCAGCAGCGTTGACCAGGTCCATGGGAGCGGCACCCTTGATCATCATGATGATAAAAGCAATGGCATTGCCCATAAAGGCTACAGTGAAGAGCCGGCGGTAAATGGTGAGGATCGCGTATCGGACACGGCCCAAGGGCTTCTGCTTGTATTCATCCTCCTCGGTCTGGGCCTCGAGGTCAACGATGGTCGGGCATGTCGACTGGTAAGTGAGACGCTTCTCGTTGACGATGAGGGGCTTTTCCGAGTTGGTCGATGATGTGGAGATGGCGGAAGCTTGGGAGAAGGTGGATGAGACGGAGTCGTTCTGCCTGGTATGGCCGAACTTCTTCCCGCTGGGATCGTTTGGTGTGGTTGTGGTCTCAATCGTAACTGTGATCCCTGCCGGCGAGGGCTTCTCCTCTACAGGAGATGTGTGTGGTTTGTCCTCCATGATGGGATGTCTGATGGTAATTTCGACTACAGATTCCGAAGGGTGAAGTTTCGGACTTGGTCGTTGGAATATGTGATAGAAGAGATTGCGATCAACTTGGACTTGGGACGGGGCAGAGGACAACGGGATGGTACCATGATATATCAGCATCGAAAGTCCGTCGTCCCTGGATCCATACATACATAAAGCCAAGGGCAGGCCCACCCCTTGAAGTTCGATGCTGGGTGGTCACTGAGCACATGTCGCCGCATTCGTCGAGTAATTGGGAGACTCTCCATCCCTTTCTGGTGGTCCACGGCACGGTCTTGTTGCGGAGTTTGCGGAGTCACTTTGTGGTCCATCTTGTCCACACTCACCCACACGGAACCAACATTGCGGTAAACGATCTACGGCCAGCCCACTTTGACATTGTCAGTGGATGGAAACTGATAAAAGGAATGGCGGGAACCGTACACTACACAGTAGTTGCACATCTTCACGACAAGCTACCGGTTACACAGTACACAGCTAGACAACCACTTGGAGCTGGAGAACGAGCGGGTCGAATCCGACAACGGAACCTCACAAGCCAATGCCCCTACTGCATGACGACACAAGCTCGAGTCAATCCGAGACGGTGACTGGCCTAGAGACAACAACGGCGGAGATTTTTGGCGGGGGAGGTTGAGGTGTTGGCATGCAAATTCTTCTGCAGCTAAGACCGTGTTGAAGGAAAAGGGGTTCTAGTGTATGGGAAGGTAAACAAGAAATTGGCCGGGACCGGGACAGGAATGCTCTTCCACTTGACGGTGTATGGGTTGGCATCCAGGGCTATCCAGGTTCCCATGCCCGGCATCGCGGGCTCCAGAATGCCGGAGTATCTTTTGAGGTGTCTAGTTTGGCAAGGGCGATGAAGATCACGACAGTCCTTCCAGCTCTGCATGCAAAAACAGTTTTTGGAGGGCAGCTGCCAGCTGCAGGTCCCAAAGTCATGTGATGATAGCCCAACACTATCAGAGATGTCTCGGCCTTCGGGCCCGAGCAGCCCTGGACAGCTGGACAACAGCGGGTCGCACTCCCCACAAACAGCACTGACCGACATAAGAAGTGGAAAGGAGGACTTGATCTGATTTGACGGCCATGAAAAGCACAGGCCACCAGATGCTGCTGCTGCTGCTGCTGCTGCTGCTATCGCAACGTTCCCGTCCCCAACCTTTTGAGGCTCTTTTGATCAGCAGAGAGCTTGCGCTAACCTAATATGCCCTAGCACCTCGTCGTTCGCTAAAGTACCTCTAGCTACTATTGACTGCAGCTTGTCTGTGCCTGTCTTTCCTTCTTTAACCTTCCGCTTTTCTTCTCACATCTTTCATCCGTCTTCTCTCGCAGCATTCTGTTACCATCACTGCAAGCCACTTCAGCTTTTCGCCCTGTGATTGATTGATTGACTGACTGTCAGACACTCAATTTGTGTCAACGCCATGTTCTCACGGACATTCAATTGTCTGACCGGGCCCTTGGGCTTCTCCGTGTCCCCATTCCCACTGCTACCGGAATGATCAGCGCCATTATCCGCATCCACATCGTGCTGACGGCTGACAGGGAGCTGGCAAGGGGACCTGCCATATCGGCTCGCTTCCCTTTTCGCACCACAAAACAACGAACAAACAACGCCCTGTATTCGTGTCATGCCATTGGTCCCCGAGGCCAGTCTGGTGCCCACCCAACTACACCATGTCTGGACTACACTACCGTCGTCGAGTATCAACGTCTTCGACATTAGCTTACGCCTGGAATTATGGACTGTGCCTGGCCAGATCGAGGTGCGCAGAAATGGCACAGTGGTCCTGGCGGGCTCTGCTGCTGCGAGAAAGCAATCATCATGGCTGGCCTCGCTGTATAACTACTTGTTCTTCATTCCAGACATGAAGGAAGTTTGCGAGAAACTCGCTTACCGACGCTTCGGATTGTCGATAGCCGATCCGATCGCCTAACCACGGTGGAGTCGTCATCTGTGTTCTTCCGTTGTTGCTACTGTGTAGTAGTTGCCAAGCCCAAACCAGGTGTACTACGCAGTACACTACACACCGTCTACACCATGGGCTGTCTTCCCAGCCGTCCTCAACCTTCACTACACGTGCTGCGGGACCAGGCGAGAGGATTCCTATCTCGGATCTCGTCAGCTCCGCACTCGACAGGCAGCATCTCCATGACCAGAACAAGCCGCTCTTCGTGGATGCCCATGACCCTATCCTCTCGTTATCTGCCAGTCAAACGACAGCATTGGTGTTCAGACTGGTCGCAGGGTTGCGTGCGGCCGGATTCAAAAAGGGCCATGTTGTGTTATCGCATCCCCGAAACCATCCGAGTATAATTTTCGGACCTACTCTTGTGCGTTGTTCTTTCTGTCCTCCACTCTGCTCCGCATCCGGGCCAACGAAGATTGCAGCAATGGTCGCCGACGTCCCCCTTTTTTTCCTTTCTCATCCGGGATCTACATATCTAAGCAGAACATAGACCCACCCACGCTGGCCCCATTGTCCGGGTCCCTGTCCCGTCCAAGAACGGCCCTTCCCCAGCTTTGCTCCTCCTTTCTTCCGGACTGCGGACTCCATGCTGCGTAGTGTACACTTCACTATGTACCGCTTTGATGATTGGAGTTTTTTTGCAGTCAGATTTTGACTCACCAACAACTCATTACAGTATCTCTACGCTGCCCTGTTCTTTACCATCGTTGGCGCAGGTGGCATCTGTTTCGCCTGCTTTAACCCGGCCCACTAGTTCCAAGATCCAAACCATGTTGCTTGTCTTTCAGCCCCCAGATTCATGATCACAACCCAGACCAAGACGGCTATCGTGCACGAGGTATGCACGAAACAAAGCATCCCGCCCTACAATGTCTTCCTTGTGGAATCCTTCAACCACCAGGTTCTTCAACAAATCCTCCGCAGCCTGAGTCGGGTGGACAGCAGTTCGGAACCATCGTAGCCCATGATGCCCCAGGCAGGCCACTCACTGATTTCCTTCGCCATGATCAAATTGCGACCGGATTATACTGAACAGCAAATTTGCCATGAAGCAAACAACTGCTTGCTACCTACTATTCCGCGCTTAGTTCTACGGGCAGCCCCAAATCGGTCTACGCCCTCGTAGCTCAACACATGGCGATTCGTCCGGGGAATCAGCCCTACAGCGAGTCCGTGGTCCGGCTAACATGTCTCCCGCTCTACACTACAACATGTTTCGCATCGTGTGGAACCTCCTTGCCGCTGTACACTACTGTACACTACGATATAGCCGTCCCGTGTACATCATGTCCAAATCTATTGCAAGCCCTTTATCCACTACCTCGACATCTATCGGGTATTTGAAACATATCTTACGCCATCGATCATCAAGATCCTCACTAACCTTGATGAACTTGGCTTCGAGAAAGCTTGGACACTCCCCGCTACTTTGGCGTGGGTGGAGGGCCGATCGACTCGGTTGCCCTAGGAAGCTGAAGGCCGTCCTCCACCCGGAAGCTACCGCATCTCAGATCCGGGGGATGACGGAGTTCGGGGTTTCTGCGCTTTTTCGCTGGGGCGAGCAAGATGAGACAGGATCCGTCGGCCCGGCTACTCGAAGGGTACCGGATTCGCCTGGTTGAACACAATGGTCATGATACCACGATAAAAGGCCGGCCCGGAAAGCTGCTTGTTCGATCGCCAAGTCTCATGACCGGGTATATAAGCATGTTGCCCTACGTTGGAGTCGATCAAGAGGACTGGTCACGAACTTGCACCGGCACCATTGTTTCTGTCAAGAGTGATAGGCTTTACGTTCATGTTGTTGGCAAGGCAATGGAGTCATCCAAAACCTCGAGAAGCACACATTCCGGATATCTCTCACCTGCTCTGAGTTCAGAAGAAGTATCAAGAGGACGTTGGTACAGGAACGAGATTGGGACCCAAGTGGCGTCGCCAAATATTCATCGGCAATTGCCGTGGCGTCTTCATACCTCTACTAAAGACATCCAGCTCTGCCTAGCTGCAGCTTACCATTCATCATATACACCGCTTGATTGAGATAAAAAGGTTAAAGGTAATCGAACCTGCATCTAGGCCGGTGCAAAACACCTTTCTCGCACTGAATCGCCTGCACCTTCTCCTCGGCCAATCGGAGCTTTTCTTTCGACGACATCCACAACGTTCGCGGGTGATACGGAGATCACTGCGATGCGTGGGTCGAAAGCGAGCTGGCGAGTAAGCTGAATTTGCCAAGCTGTGCTGCAGGAGGAGACTTAAACACAAGATGTTTGCTGATCCGCAATGGCATGATATCATGGATATGGTTCTAGAGTTGAAGAATGGTGGCAGCTTCCACAACTGAACAGCGAGATATTGGTGCGCTCTCCATTCATGGCTGATTCTCAGGTGCACCTTCGCCGAGGTGACAAATTTGTCAAGAAATAGCAACTGTGGAAGTGACAAGATGGAAAGCATGACCGTGGTTTGTAGGTCGATCAGACCTTTCTCATTGCCTCTAGTTTACATCTTTGCGTGATCCGCCCTTTCTGTTCAAAGGTCTGTTTCGCAATCCTGCATCGATCTAGACCTTGAGGAACTCCTTGCCACCGAGATCACCTTCAAGCCAGCTTTTGGTAGCCCAGTTATCCCCGAAAAGCCGATCCCCCATGCAAGCGAACCACCTCAGAAACAGACTTTAAGTCTGTTCCGCAAGAAGACCATCCTGGAGACGCCCAAAATCAGAACACCCCAGTAATCTCACGACTTCGAGGCTTCCCCAATTTTGTCTGACGTCGCGAAGTCCTCCATGTTCCTCGCACCGTTTTCCTTCAGGGGCACCGCTGCAACCCGGACCAAGGCCAGATCTGTCGCTATATAAAAACTCAGCTTAGTCGATAGGCAACGCCGTGATAACGACCAGAGACCTTTGGATACGTCTCTGTTGCACGGCCAAGTGCGCGTAGCTGTTGTTGTGCAGGTGTGTGTACCCAACTTGTCTGGAGGTATGCAATCTTGCCGAGGCTCAGGCAGTCCTGCAGCTTTGCTTTGAGTTCGTCAATCTCCTGGTTTGTCTCGGTCGTGGCCGTTGGCATATTTAATACCGGTATTTGCATATTGACCACGACATGAGGGCTTTGGTTCTGGAACCAAATTCGTATGTTTGATGTCCAAGGTGAGAAACGCCCGGGAAAGTTAACTCGGGAGATCTGAGCTTACCTATATAGGAATACTGAGCATAGGTAGGTTGGCAATGCTCTTTACTGTTTCTCGTTGTTAATTTTGTTTTCTTCTATCGTTTTCCTCCGACCTTGTGGTATCAGCCTAGATGCCCACCTTTTGTTGCTTTGCTTTGCTTTGCTTTGCTTTGCTTTGCTTTGCTTTGCTTTGCTTTGCTTTGCTTTGCTTTGCTTTGCTTTGCTTTGCTTTGCTTTGCTTTGCTTTGCTTTGCTTTGCTTTGCTTTGCTTTGCTCGAGTACCCTTCATCCCATTCCCATCGTCAAACACTCAGCAGTGCGAACCGATCTGATCTTGGAATGGGAACCAAAACAAAGCACAAAAACGTTATTGAACTGTATCTCGGCAACTCATGGTCTTTTCAGATTCCCCAGTAGTTCCTATGTTACCCTCGCCTAGGTAGTCCGTTCCACCAATTTCCTAGTCAAGATCTTGATTTCCACCTCCAACATCTTGTTCCCGTTCTTGAGCTCATCGATATACTCCAGTCTTCGAGCGCTTTCTCTATTTGAGCAGCCTGAATAGCCGTGTAGTGAGAAGAGCTTATCGACGCTTCCGCACTCTCCACGTACTCGGCGAGGCCCTTGTGCTTCTTCAGCTCGGCGACCTTATCTTCAAGATCCTTGATTCTGTCCTGCTTCCTCTTCACGTCCTTCTCAAGGTCCATCTTCGCCCCCAAAAGCACCTCGAATTTGTCAAACTGCTCCTCCCGCTCATCGAGCAGAGTTGGGAATTAGTACAGTACTAATTAGTAGTACTAGAGTACTAGACTTTAGTACTAGTACTAGTACTAGACTCTAGTATACTAAAAATACTAATTTTTGAAAATTGATATTTTATAATATTTAAAGCTGTGTATAAATTATATAAAAATCAATAAGTAAAAAAATGCTATAACCACTCAGTAGGGATTTTTCTTTATTTAAATAATAGATTCTTTAATTAGAGTTGGTAAAGAAGTAGAATAATTAAATGAGGAAAAGTATATTCAATATTCTAATTGTAGGTATAAAATCTACTATTTTTATTATTATATACTATATTTAGAATATTTATAAAATCTTCTATTTTAAACAATGCTAAAATACTAATTAGTACTACTCTAGTAGTCTTAGTACTAGAGTAGTACTAGAGTAGTACTAGAGTAGTACTAGAGTAGTACTAATTAGTATTTTTAATTGTACTAATTAGCATTTTTAGTAGTATAAGTATAAATTTACCTTAAGAAATACTAGAATAGTAATATAAATACTAAAGTAAATCTATTAACTATACTAATATTTAATAAGGTTTTATATAGTATTATTATTAAATATTAATTATAATTTATATATATGTTGAATAATAAAAGAAAATAACATTATAGTTGTAATATTATTAAATATTATAAAACGAAGAAGGCAAATAGTAATAATAATAATAATAATAATAATAATAATAATAATAATAATAATAATAATAATAATAATAATAATAATAATAATAATAATAATAATAATAATAATAATAATAATAATAATAATAATAATAATAATAATAATAATAATAATAATAATAATAATAATAATAATAATAGTAGTAGTAGTAATATAATACCTTTATTCTTCTTATACCCCCTAATAACTAATACCCTTTAAACCTCTACGTTTTTAAAGTTCCAAATCTACTATTTTACCCTCCCTAAATTCTTTTCGGTCCTTTTTTCAATACGAAAATAGAATTGTACGTTTTTACGAACCCCTAGTTGTCAGTTGACTATATAATATAAACGTGCCTACCCTCCATTCCTCAAATCCTAGTTTCCTATTTTAACTAAGATTTTTATATCTTCTAATTCAATATATTACTTTTAATAAAAATAATAGTATTTATATATATATATATATATATATATATATATATTTAGTTATCTATTTACTAATTATTTATTATTATTATTATAGGATAATAAGATTTTCTGGATCTATGATAATTCCCGTTGCAATTAGCGATTTCTTAATAAGTATACTTTATAGTACTACTAGCGCTAGCAGTAGGATTTAAAGAAGGAGGGTAAGGTTTATAAGGCTTGCTTTAAAGGAATATAAGTCTTATATTAATAAATAATAATAAGAATCCTAATTATTATTATTATATAAGTATTGAGGATTTTTTATCTATTTGCTTTTTATTTTCTTATATTATTATATAATATAGTAGATTGGATATATGTATATATATTGTTATAGGGCTTGCTGCCCGTAGCTAGAGTAACTAATAGTCTTGCTAGTCTAAGTCCCAGCCGGCAGGTAACCGATACGATTAATTAGGTCCCTTGCCGCAGCGGCACGTTCGTAGCCCGTACGTACGTACGTCCCTTAAAAAGGATAGCTAGCTATACCCGCCTAGAGGGCGCTCTTTTCCCCTTTTTTCTTCTTTATAGAACCTTATTAATTGATTAAAGCTAGCATCTGTATCAACTGTACTGCACTCCTTATATATATATATACGTATATGTTATTTTTATATATATAATAATAAAAAGTATTAGAATTAAATATTATATTTATATATATACTATTATATAGAAGTGTTATATAGTTCTATATAATAATTATTATTATTAATATATAAAAAGTAATTATATAGCTATAAAGAGGTATTATATATTAGCATTTACTATATATAATAGTATAATTCTGAATAAGTATTAGAAATACTAGTCTAATATCCCTAGTACTAGATTAGTATTTCTAGTACTAGATTAGTATTTCTCGTACTAGACTAGTATTTCTAGTACTAGACTAGTATTTCTAGTACTAATTCTAGTATTTTTAGTATTAGATTAGTATTTCTAGTACTAATTCGTACTAATTAGTATTTTATTTTTCTTAATAACTTTTTAGTTTTTTACTATTTTGAAAAACCGTTGTTAGTACTCAGAAGAGCTCGTTTTCTAGTATATTTTCTTTACTAAAACTATTTTTTGAAAATACTAAAAATACTTTAGTAGTACTAGATACTGGAGTACTAATTAGTATTAGTACTGGGTCTAGTACTAGTACTAGAGGTCTAGTACTAGTACTGGTCAAATACTAGACTAGAGTAGTACTAATCCCAACTCTGACATCGAGCAAAGCCTGATTGAGGCGCTTGACCTCCGCGTTCTCCTCCTTGAGGCGCTCGTTCTCGGCCGACAGCTCTTTGATCTGGCTGCTGTAGTCCGCGCAGGCGCCCTTGTAGAAGGCTTCATAGACGGCTCTATGCTCGCTCTGGAGCTTCTTCCTCTCCGCAGCATGCGCCTCCTTAAGCTCAGCGATCTTGGCTCTGAACTTGGCGACGAGCTTTGTGCCCTGTTGCAGGGTGAGGCCAACCTCAGGCTTGTCGTAGACTAGAGGAGTAAAAGAGGATCATATTAGTACGGTACTCGAGAAAAGCTTCTTGTCTTTCATATCAACTTCAGGCTGAAAACTAGAGGTACTTACTGTAACGGGTCCACATCAACTCATCGGCAACGAGCGCCTTGAACGCATCGACTTGGTCGCGCGAGATGTGGTAAAAGGCGCCGTACTCCTCAAAAAGCTTGGTGGCGTACGAGCCCTCAACTTTGGTTTTGAACTCGTTCTCGAGCTCTTCTGTGGTGAGGTTGGGGTGCTTCTTGGTGATTTCTGCGAACAGGTAGCTGTGGTGCGAGTAGTACACAGGCACGGTGGTGTCGTCTTGATTGCCAGACATCTTGAAGTTGAGGCCTTGAGGTAAGTGCGAGAGGGGAGCTCTTGCAAAGTGAGGGCGACAAGAATGAGGTTGAGGTAAGTGCAAGGAGGATGGAGGCTCTTGCAGAGTGTGTGTGCAAGAAAGAGAAGATAGAGGTAGAGATACCTGCCCGTACAACGATGATCTTGCTGTCGTAGCTTCCTGACTAGGTGACTGAAGTTGGAGGTTGCAAGTTATTGTAAGCTGTTGCAAGATTTGAAAAAGCCGAAGAAGGAGAAGGTAGAAAAGGCAGCGCGGGGTACTGGTGAGTAGTTGTGGGAGTCGTCTGAAGTCAGGTCATAATTTCAAACGCACAAGGCAGAATAGGCGAACGCGGGGTACAATACGTCTACTGTTGAGTAATCGTGCAGGTACAGAGGTCGTCCTATGTCTGGTTTCAGCTGTCTACGACTGGCAGTGGGTGCTGAAAGACCAGACGATGATTTACAAACAGCATATTCCATGGAAGGAGGGGGCAGGTCATACACTATGGTCAGCCGGGATTACGTACACCTTATGGGAGATATTGGCGGTCTTAGCCACCACCTCCACGCTGTAGGACTTCCAGACTTTTTTTCGGGAGTGTAGGGGCCATCAGGGCGGGTACGGAACTCAGATATTATTCTTGAATAAGGCATGTCCATCCTCAGATAAGTTTCTCTTAATAACTTGATTGTAGCATACGAAACAGGTGTAGCCAGTGTTCAGTTCTCCGTTCAAGCATCGCTTACCCTTGAGGAGACTGGAGCTTGCCACTCGACGGTTGGATGAAGAAAACGTAAGCCATAGCGGTTCCCGGTTTTGCAGGTATATAGGTACCTCGACTACCTGTAGAAGAAGGAACTTACTGTGCGGATATCTTCGCGGCGTTCGATGGCAAATAAGGACGGTTATTGTCCGTTTAACCACGAATTGGCAAAAGGATTAAAGGAAGGATGAAAGTTCTTGCCTGGCAGCAGCCAATGTACCTCTACAGAGGTAGACCATCCGCAGCGACTGCAGATAGCCAGACTTTAATCGTCGGAGACCACTATTTTGGTAGAGTGGGTATTGTGAGGTGACGAGAGCATAGGAGGAACTCCAGTCTCACTCCAAGTCGTGAGTCTAATCTGATGTGTGCGTGGGATCGCGGTATTTCCTCTTGACTATAGGTTCCACCTACATGTCGTGTAGCGTAGAGGTAGGCTTTCCGACAGCTTCCATGTACCACTTATCTCTTCCACGTCGTCTCAAAGATTTCTGTTCCTTCCATCCGATCCCAAGAGAACTTTGGTATTGTTCCCGCTCCTTAATACAGTGAATAGGTAAGAGTTGTTGAATCGGTCAGGATCAAGATTGGATATTCCAGTAATTTGCAAGAACCATTCCGTTTTGCTTTTTCCTATCCTTTGCTTATCTCCAACTTGCGATCAAGGAAGCTAGAGATCAACTTACAGCCTTGCCTAGGTAGGTACCTACCTACCTAATCATCATACACCACTACCTCCAACGATCTGCCTTGTAAGTTCATTACCTTACTTTTATCATTGTGGAATAATCATCAGCCACTCCATGCTGTATATGTCAGATAGCCGAGTTTGACACAGTAACAACCCCCCTGACGCTGTTGCTGTTAAGGGGGCATCCTTGAACCGACACAGTGATGTCTCCGGAAAGCAGAGCCGCGCGGCATTAGTTACCAGGGGTATCCGTGTCCATGATTTCTACCTGCAGATAGGCTGCAGGTACTAGCACACCAAGCTCCTTTGGCAACTATCCGTGCCATCCTGAGTAGAGGTATGGAAGTTATACGAACGAGTTGACCCAGAATGCCTGTTCATGGTCTCAACTTACGGTCTAAGCCCCTGTGTGCTTTGCATCCTATGGAAGCTGATAGTGTCAGGAAGGGAAATGCTGTGAAAGCAAAGATCATACCTCTATATAAAAATGCTTAAATTGGATGGCTGAAAATATTTTGGCGGCGGTTGTTGTTGTTGTGTTTGATGGGTAGAATGAGGAAGTAGGAGCAAGTCTCAGGTGGTTGACGACGGAGATGGAATTCTTTTTCAAGCAAAACTGAGGTCACATTGAGCACAAAAGCTCAGTATATGACAAAGGCAGCTCGTTGGATTCGGGAGTTTGTTGCCTCACCGGCTCACCCACTCGCTCAGTTTCTCGCTCAGGCCCGCGAAGTGGATCATCTTCACTGCATGATACGAGGGGATGTAGAAGGCTCTTAAGTTAGAAGTTATTTGGGCATGGGTTAGGTGAAGGGATGAACCTCCGGTCTAGCTTGAGCTTGAGCCCCGGCGCGCTTCAAACCGTCTTTTGCTCCGATTGGACGTCATCGAATGGACCGAGCTCTGTACAACTTTCGGGTTTTACTCCGGATAGCGAGTTTGGGTTGGGGTTTGTATGTAAATGTTTGACGATGGGAAAGGCCAGCAGCCTTATTGGGATCATCATTCGGTATAGCCAGTGTCGTGAACTCATGATAGCGCCAAATGCGTGCCTTCCGTCTTGTCGAATCGGTATTCATTCGATTTTCAGTCCGCTTTATTTCAACGTCAAACTGGTCGTCTCGACTCATTTATGCGATGAAACACTTTTGTCCAGACTGTGTCCTGTTACTCCAATAACCCTGTATTCGAGAGCCGGTTCTAGAACTCCAAGACACTCAGGGTCAGCTGCATGGGAGTGTCAGACCCAAAGGTGATCATTGTGAGTCTAGTCCATAGAACGGCGTGACCCTGAAAATCGACCTCCCCGGTAGAACGAGACATGTCTTGGTATCACGCAGGGTAACAACCCCCCAAGCAGTGCAAGCTATAGCAGCCTTTCGGGATACACGAAGCCGAAATTGTGCGACCGATGCCAGGACCCGATGGAATGGGTGAAGAAGCAGTGAAATGTGCTTACAGCCAAGATGCCCTCAACAGGTCTTGGCTAGCTGAGGAATGTCATAGACGGAGCAAAAGGACGTTCGAGAACAAGGGCGCTGTAGTTGTCCGCCCACAGGGTCTGATGACGTTGTCCACGTGGTACTCTTTGCAGCAAAGATCTTCCCCGTGACGGAGTGGACAACCGACGATCAGTACGGACTGGGGATCCCGAATGCTGGATTGTGGAGAAGTGATGTAAGGATACAGATCGGTCCAGACTCCAGGCGACCGGATTGATCCGACGATCTCGAGAACCCTGAGGTTATGTCAACAATCTCGTGGACTGTCATTCTGTCTTCGATGCGTACTGAATCTCAGGGTTCAATTGTCAGGATGATCGACGAGAGAGCACCAGCGCAAGGGTGCTACCCTGACGATCACCAGAATCCATGACGATAGTTGTCCAGAGCAAGAGTGAGAGAAACGTGCTTCGAGTTTCCTGTCGGAGCTGTTGTTCTGACGTGTGCCTTAGAAACGAAACATAAAGGTCGAGTTGTATCATACTGGCACGTTCGACAATGTTGAAGACACAACCACAACCAACGCCGGGGCACATGGGATTCACAAAGAATCCCATGCTTTATTGAACCTAAAACTCTGTGCAATCCATCAGCCCTTTGATCCATAGTCATTTGCTATAGTGGTTAGTTGTTACAACCGTTCTCCTCCGAAGAACAGCCCCTTACAATCACAAGACAATTCGAAGTTGCTGACGTTCCGCTCGTAGGTGGAATACTCCTTCGCTGAGAACAGCGGTGAATTTCTCCTGCTTGAACGGAGGTGTCTGTTTGCTTCAAGCCCCAGCAGGCCGTTCACCCTAGGGGTCGGGACCTTGGTCCTCAGCGTTACTCGGTTCGAGTCAGCCTCCGGACCTTCGGTCCCGCAACTTTGCGCAACCTCACCAAGCCCGGCATCTGATATTGAGAAAGGACTCGACAGCGCAACCAAAACTCTCCGGCAATAAGTAGCTCGACGGCCTATATAAGCTTCACCATCTTGATCTTTGAAGTCCTCTCCACTCCTACCATTTCCCGCGACCTGGAACAAGAACCGTTAGCCTGTGTTTGAACAGCTTCCCCAATCTCGGCACGGACACTCACATACCGAGCACCCCTTGTATGAGCCTGCTATAAAGGAAAAGAACAACCACTACCCTAAACCATGCAGCTCACTACTCTCTGTTCCGCCATTGCGGCCCTGGCCATAGCCCCCCTAACATCTTTGGCCTCCCCAGCTGAGACCCTGGGTAACAGGGACTTCCCCGACCCAGCAATCATTCTTGACCCTCGCACTGACGAGTGGTACGCTTTCGCAACCAGCAGCAACGGCAAGAACGTACAGGCTGCTTACAGCCCCAATCCTCATGACGGCCCTTGGACATATGTCGAGCACGACCTCCTCCCCACCCCGGGCAAGTGGGTCAACCCCGACCAACCCGACATTTGGGCGCCTGATGTGCACTACTTTGAGGCAAGCGATTGTTTTGTCATGTATTACTCGGGTCTTTTGGCGGACTCCCCTTACCACTGCATTGGTATTGCCACTGCCGAGAACATCACCGGCCCGTATGAAGCCTTTGATGAGCCATTTGCCTGCCCGGATTCCGAGGGTGGCGCTATCGACGCAAGCGGCTACCTTGATCCTATCGATGGCTCTTTCTTCGTTGTGTACAAGGTGGATGGTAGCGCCAAGGGCCCCGGTGGTCCTTGCGGCAACGGTGACCCCCCCGGCGAGCCGACTCCCATCCGCCTTCAGCGTGTCGATGAAAGCGACGGCATCACTCCCATCGGCCATTACACCGAGATCCTTGACCGCGATCCGGAGCTTGATGGCCCGCTTATTGAGGCACCCAACCTCATCCGCACCTTCAACGGCACATTTGTGTTGTTCTACTCCTCCCATTGTTACAACACTCCGGAATATGACATCAAGTACGCCACGGCGGACAAGATCGAGGGACCATACCACCGCCGTGGAGAACTGATGGGCTCGAACACCAATTCCTATGGCTTTGATGGTCCAGGAGGAGCAAGTAGTGTCTTCGGCGGTGGAATCTTGGTATTTCACGCCAACTGCGATGCCGGTCGTTGCATGTATGTAACAGAATTCGAAGTCGAGGAGGAAGGCATCGTGACGCTACTGGATTGATCTGTTTTCAAGGTTTATCAGCACATGAAATGAGAAGAAATGAGTGATGTGGAGTTATTGGGTACAGCGTTGGCTTTTGGCATGCATAAGGTACCACAGGAGCACAGGCGTTTCTTTGGTTGTCTCTTGTTTTTCTTTTGGTTTTGTTTTAGCGATAGGCGTATGGCATTCGTTCAATGGAACACAGTAAACACTGCACAAAGCTCTGTCTTTACATCAAATGATACTGCGATCACAATGATATGGTGTAGTACTGGGCCAAGTGTAGGTGGTCTTTGAACAATTAATCGAAATTGGTGTGGGATGTGGAAGCAAACGAGGGAAGACAAAACGGCGGGAAAGATTCCAGACGCGGACAAGATGCACCTGCCTTCTGTAAGAAACTGCAGTGACGATGCGCTAAACTACAGTAACTATGGTGGCTCGCTCTTTCGACATCGACATGCGGGGAAGCCAGGAGGAACAACAACGACATAACGAGCCTTTGCACGCGGTCTTGCCATTTACTCATAAAAGATGACAAGTCGCAGTATCAACACTTTGGAAATGAACTAAACATCCTTTTACGATTCTCCAATAGATTCCAGGTTGTATTGAACTTTCGACTGACAAAGACAAGCGCCCACTTGTATGGTTCGGACATGGCGCTGAACTCTCCTTTTATTAAGGAACGACCATGGTCGCCCCGAGCGGACTTGCTCAAGTACTGACCATTGAATCCATCGGGAAAGGCGAGAAGAAAACTGGAAGTGACGGTTCATGCTGGATCTCCATGGCGACGGGCAGAGGTAATCCTCTTTCCGCGATCGAACAGAACAAAGATGTTATTGTGGTAGCGATGTCCTTGAGGAGTGATCGCGGAGAAGTTGGAGTTCTGAATTTATTTCGGGTTGTTGATGGTAGCGAAAGGATAGCACCAGTTGTCGATGGCAGCGAAAGGATAGCACCAAAGATTTGACATTGGTTAAGGAGAAGTCATGGTACCTCTATATTGTATGAATGGTGAAGGGAAGATCTCCCCCTTGCTTGTTCCAAAGGCATACATTGCCTACACACTCTTCTAGTATCGTTGTATCTTCACTTGATCTCCATAACTTCAACTGGGGGTAATTAATAGATGAGTACGTGCCACCTCTTTCCGCCGCTGATTTTGGGTTTGTGTCGTTGCGACTACCTTAGGATATCCATCCAAGCAAAAACCGCTGGACCGAATAGGGTTCATTCTTGCCAATTCAACAACAGCCGGAATGATGAACAACAAGATTTGATGCAGTTAATCCATCCACCCCCTTACGATCTTTGCCCCTAAAACAAGTTGAAACACTTATTAATCCCCTCCCAATCCGGATGCTCCTCCTTTCCCTTAACCAGCTCACTTGCCCAAGACCCCCTAGGGGCCTTCTGCGATTCCTTCAAAGCCTGTCGCACGATAGCATCCCCAAGCTGCTTCTTGATCTCCAACCTTGGCAGCTGCCACTTGATCAAATTCGCCGAAGTAGCTCCTCCCGGCAGACTATCAGCCGGCGGTACGGGACAAAACCCAAAGTCCGCCCGTTTGGCAAATCGCAGAGCGCGCGCGGCGCCGCTCAACCGCTCCGCAATAGTCGGATTCGTATGTAAAGCGATAGCCAGCCAAGCCTCGCGGACCGCCAGGGCCGGGATGTTATGCGAGTGTAGCAAATGGGCGGCTACGTCCGCCCCGATGAGCTCGAACTGCTCGGCGATGGCATCGTACTCGGGAGCCAGCCCTATGGCGTGGAGAATACAGACGACGAATAAGATGTGCGGCGGAGTACTGGTCGCGCATTCTCCGTAGACAGGGCTGATGCGTACTATACCAGGGGAGTTGAGCAGCAAGGAAGGGTCGGCCGGGTCGGTCCAAGGGGTGATCCGCATGGAGGCTTGGGCGTACATGTAGACGCGAAAACTATGGTAGAGGATTGTGGCGGGAAGATGGGTGCGGGCAAGGACGAGGGCATCGGTGCAGACGGGGTGGGTTGGCATCAGGGCGCGAAGGGCGGCGGTGATAGTGCCTTGGTCGGATACTGAAGGCGACGATACAGACCCAGAATCAGAACCGGGATCGGTGCCAACCGCGCCGGTTGAGGAGATGGAGGAGGAGTTGCTGGACGTCCGACTGCCCATGGCGCGATGGCGGCTACCGTGGTAGACACTGCTTGCTTGATCGGGATCACGAGAGGAGAAACCTTATGGTTTTTGAAATACTAGAGAATGGGGTTCGAAGCTAAGGAGTCCACTGGTTAAATACCTAGGTTTTGACTTGCCAGACCTTCTGGAACTTGTGAGTGGTTGCTGTAGCTGCAATGCAAGCAATGGAACTGTCGGTGTCGATGCGGGTCAACTGGATAAATGTCATTGCGAGCACCGACGCTGCGAAACCAGATGGCTCGACCCGTTGCTGTCATGCTACCCTTCACTTTCTCGGATCTTTCGTATACAGGATATCACAGGATGTCAGTATCTGAATACTTTATGCTTAGACTCCTGGTATCGATGCTGTTCTTCCGCAGTGTACGCCTACGAAGCACAACCGTCCGAGACACTCAAACTTGATATTCCAAGATATCATTTGAGGTGATACCCGTCCTGGCGTTCCAAGTCTGTCGTTTTCACTCAATCCTCTGGTAAGCCTTCTACCATCTAAGTCGGCAACAAGCAGAAGTATCGATGGTAGAGTTTAAGTACTCACTCAGTCTCCATTCTGTGGGCTCGCAAAGGCCAAAAAGTAAACATATGTTCTGATATGGATATGAAGCCCGAAATACGAAGAGAAGGTGATCGATAGGTTGTAAGGCGGGTGAAATAGCTTTTTTGGAGACCTGAGAGGACGTTTTGAGGATGTGTATCATGTTAGAGGAAGGTACTCTTGGAAGAATGGGAGGAAGGAAGGAACATGTGAATGGGCGGAAGACAATGGAGTGGCTGCCTTAGAAGTGTCTTAAACTTCAAAAGGGAAGCAGTTTGGGGAAAGAGCAACTGGTCGTGGGATAAGCCGGGCCAAACGGCCATGCAACATACCATCAGGGCAAGAGCGCTAGAAAGCTTTTTAAGGAGCTCGAAGCCTCTCTTCAGGTTGCCTGGCACTTTATTCTTCTCGGGGTACCTAGCAGTTCTTTGATGGCATAAACCCGAACACGTCGTTCCAGATACAGGCAGTAACTTGTCTTTGGTCGATGGCAAGGCATTCTAAGGGTAGGCTTGCAACATGAAATTCAAGACGTATCGAGATAGGTAGCATTTGGACTACCAAGCTAGATACCTATTGTTACACTGTACGTGATGGCTGATAACCTGACTGAGTATTGTTGTCTAATAATAATACACAATCAAACCTATGCAGATAATATGCTACTTGCAAGAGCCAGAGATACTCCAACAGATATGGTCCTTTTTTGAATCACCTCCAATTCCAGCCAGATGATGATGAGCCCCGCAATGATGCCTGAAAGGTAATGATGCAACACCAGAAAGCCATTTACAAAGCCATCTTTCAACCAGCCGCCCTGTCGAACATACTGAGCCCCCATAAGGGCCTCTGTCTCCAAGTAAGTTCAAAACCCTTGTCCCGTCAATACTGGTACACAACCTTCCCAAAGTAGGGTAATACACTTTGATCCCCAGGAAGACATTGCCGGCTTCCGGACTTTGATTGGCACTCTGTTGCCGTAACTCCAACACATACTCCCTTCCACTCTACAAGTCCCCCATATGAGCCTGCCTGACCAAACTGTTGATCTCCTTCGGCTGGAACTCAGGCTCATACCTACCCGCATGGCTCAAATCATCAGGTGGCATCAGCACCGGGTAATCCGGACCTGCCTGTCCTTGCTCCGTTGCCTCCGCATCATCGGTAGCAGTAGCAGTAGTAACAACCCCCCTCATACTCTTCGCAAACTCTTCATAAGCCCTCTTCGCCTCCTTCCGATCTTCCTCCCTGAACCTCTCAACAATGCCCTCCACCACACTCTCCACCTCCTCCCTTCCCGCCATCCACCACTCCAACAGCTTTGCCTGGGCTTTGACCAGCCTCGTAGCAACCTCGTTCCCCACCGCCTTCTCCTCCTTGCACTCCGTACAAACCATGGGCACCGCTCTCTCAGTCTTTACCTTTTCCCTGGCATCCCTCTGCATCTCCATCAAGAACCGCATCCGCTCCACCTCAAAATGTCCTGACCTCAAAGCACGGAACCAAGCACCCAGAAATCCCATCCGGTTCCAGGCCGCATCGGACATCTCCGGGGTTGCCAAGGCACAGAGCAGGGGGGTCTCCATTCGCCGCCAGAGCTCGTTGTCGTCCTCTTCGGCGCGGCCTTCGTCTTCAGCGAAGGACTCGATAAACTCGCGGATGCTCATTCCCAAAGCGACCTGCTTGAACGAGAGCACATTCTTTTGCTCTTCGGGGTTATCAGAGCCGGCGACGAAGGAACCGGGTGCCATGCGGGTGAAGGTGGTGGAGAGAACGTGTTTGCAGAAAGTTGCGGGGCTGAGGGATAATCCGTTGGAAGAGTGGGAAGGGGAGGTGGAAAAGTTGCTGCTGCTGCTGGCGCCGCCGCCGCCGCTTTCGCGGATGTGGTCGCGGATGGAGGTCAAGCGGCGGGTGGATACTTGGGTTTGGAGAGTGCTGGTTTGGAGGAGGAGGTCGCTGTCGGGGCCGTAGATCTCGTTCCAGGTCAGGGCGTGGTCGAGGGCGACATGTTGGTGATGGGATTCGGTGACGGAAGGGGGAATGTCAAGGTGAAGCTCGATCGAGGTGAGGAGCTCGGCTTGGGACTGTTGTACGCGCAGCGAGGATTCGATGTGCGACAGATACTGATCGGCGCGACCTTGGAGATCGAGGAAGGCGGCTATGAGCTGGCTTTTGCTGAGTGAGAGGAGGTCGGCGCGCGTGTAATGTGGCTCGCGAGGGACTTCATCCACGGAAGAGTCAAAGTCGTGCGACAACAGCAGATGCTGTGTCTCGGGTGGTAAAGGCATCCTTGCGTGCTTACGGCGCGATGAAGGTCGCCTACGTCAGTCTGGGAGTCCTGCGCGGGGTAGTGATGATACCAGGCAAATGCTTAACGAGGAGAGCAAGTAGTCGGCTGAGGAAAGATGAGAGAAATGGGATGCACTATCATGTTGGTTTGCTTGTTGGCTTGTCAGCTTGTTGGCACGTTGGTTGGTGGGAACGGGCAAACATACCACCTAGCGTAGCTTCAAGGGAGATGGTTACTGCCTACTTTGTTGGAGCATTCACATTGCACCCTGCTTCCAGGTTGCACCAACTGGACAAGACGAGGTGAATGGGAAGTGCAAGGTCCGCGAAGAGCTACAGAACCCGCGGCGCTGAGACGGCGCAGAGCCTCCCGGTACCGTGGAAACGGTCTCCAGATATCCCAGGCACAAACACAAACACGTGGCAGTGTCAGTCGTAGAGTGGAAGGAACAGGCACCACTCACCAGACAGCCGCCGCGCCGACCACGGGTTCATCTCAAGAACCCACCCTCTTTGGCCACCTTTGACAAACAATCCTGGAAAGCTCGCGTGGCATACCATAATGAAAACCAACGCACAGCTTGATCCTCAGACTGATCTCCCCCTTCTCTATCTGCAACGGGTCCTCCCAATCTCCTATCACAGCAAACCCATGCTTGGCTCCTGGATACACCACAGCCTCACGCGCATTCGGTATAATCGGCCTATCCGCCCCCTCGGCCTCCTTCACTGACGCTCTGTTCTTGACTTTTAGAATGCTCATCACCCTCTTCATCTTCTCCTGTCCCATGAACGAATCGTTCTCCCCGTTCGCCAAGCAGAGCGGCAGCTGCACCTCATGGATATGCCTCGGCAACTTGAGTATCGACGGACGGGCAGTGAGGGCGCAGTCAATCAGCGGGACCTTTTTTGCATCCCACAGAGACACCCAGAATTCGCGGGGTTTTGAGTAATGGTAAGGCCGACAGAATAAAGCCCACCCCAGCAAAACCCAGCAACGCCGACTTTGGGAGGTTCACCATTCGCCGTCGGTGTCTTTCGCACAGCAGCCAGGAAGGATCGCACACGCGGCCAACTAACGGAAAGGACGGGTGCAGTAAAGCCAGAAGAGACAAAAGGGGACGGCCTTGATAATATTCTAGGACCGACTCAAGATACGGAAGATCCAGAGAGAGTTGGGATCGGGTTTGGATTCGAATGAGGCCATGAGCGAGAGGGGGATAACTTTGCCGTCCATGAAGTCAGGAACACGAATGAATTGGCGAGGGCGCGTGTATTGCGGAGGGACCACCCAAAGGCATCGGTGATGAGGACTACCGTGCCTAGCGGTTTTACCCAGGGCTTCGGGGTCGCGATGTATGTGAGAAGTCCGTGAATGACATCCTCGTGGCCGGTGGGGATGACATCGCCGCGGAGGGTTCCTTTGAAGCAATCGGGACAAACGGGATGGAGATTGTCGCTGTATCATCGATACAGATGGTATAATGGAACAAATCGAAATAGTGCGCGAACAATTGGTTTCCAGGCTGTCATGCCGATGAATTTACTGAAGTCATTATGTAGTTGCCGAGGTTGAAAGCGGGGGAAAAGACGAGCTGCGGTACAGCGTTCAATGCAGCGAGTTTTCAGGAACAAGCCGGAAAAGGAAGGTTACGTGAGCATCGGGTTAGGGTTGGGTAGGTATGCACCAGCCATTCACCAGCCGCCCCGTTAACGGTTCACAGTTCACACCAGTGAATGGCCCGGGGACGGAACATGTCTCCAAACACCAAAAAGCCACAACTCCATGATATCGCCAGAAACACGCAAAAAAGTCATCATCGCAAGCTTCGTGAGGCATTAATGCCCACAGCCAGAATCGAACAGACGACCTAGGACGGGGTGGACCGTTTGCCCCCACGACGACTTTTCAAGAAGCAACAATTTCTATCACTTGGTTCTCTCCTTCATCAACATTTCCTCCCTGAACCTGTTGCTCCTTCCCCAGAAGTCGGACACTAGCTTATAACCCCCTTCAGTCCATGCTTCCTTCCTGATCAATCCTCTCCATAATCCACAAGTCCACACCCCCTTCCTCTCTATTGACAGCAGACAGTCGTTGCCCTCATTGCCCAAATTACCCACATTCCTCATCGAATGATCTCATCAATCGCCAAATCCCCTCCTCCCACCTTTTATCTACATTTCTCACCTTTCATTCACATCTCCCACCTTTCATCCACATCTCCCTCCTCCATCTCATCCCTCAACTCAACACCTTTTCCCTCTCCTCTCTCAGTCTGTTCAATTCTACTTTCATACTCCTTATACGCTCTTGAGTACTGGTGATGCGCTCTACCATTAACACTGAGCCATGCGGGCTTTGATGATTATCCTGGCTTCAAAAATGAAGTTTTATCCCTAGTTCTCCACCGGATCCGGAGCCTCCGCCGCGCCGACGAAGGTATCACGCCCCGCCCGAACCGAAGATGATACCCGGATGAAAGCGAGACGGCCATGTCAAAACAGGCGAGTTTATTCAACCACTGGGTAGAGTCTCGTGCTCGCTGGTTTGAACGGTCATGTTCCGGATCGAGTTGGTGTGTCCATGCAGCAGGTATGTCTGGTGTTCGGTGTTCACAAGGACCATTGAATGTGCCAATGGCCGTCGGGGGTTACACCTTCAATAGATAAAGGAGGAAAAGCCGACTTATCTACCGTTTATGGGGCCCCGTCTCCTTTTGTTACAATGACGGAGCCTTGCGATTTTCAAAGAAAAGTTGGTTTGAATCGATGAGGATAATGATCATGAGAGGAATAGAACAGAAGTAGGTGCAGTGGTGATGCAGTGTTCCCGCTTATAAGCGCTAACTGCTAACAATTATGGCCAAGCCACTCCCCTGCACCTTCTGAGTCGGCTACCTGCGCCTCACCCGGGCCACCGCCCCATTCTCGGCGCCTGATAGCGATAGCGGTCGGCATGCTAGACCCGGCCCCTCCTCCGCATTTCTTTCGCATCCGCCCCTCCACCTCATACCGATTTCGATGCCGTCTTGGAGGTTGTCGTCATTGAGAAGTAGCGGGCGTCCCATTGTTACCAAGACCCAAATCACCGTCGCAGTGCTTCCTGAAGGCCTGATGCACGTTCTTGACTAACTACAGAAATATCACGGAACGAGAAAAGGTTCGCTTACCCGTATGCCTTCTACTGCGTGGCCGAGATCCGAATGCGGCCTCGTCTGGAATTCCAAAGTCCGAGTTGACAGGTATGCTGTATGACAGGACGAATCTGCTGTCTGATGCAGAGCGGAAGAGGCATGTTTTAGGTGACTGACCATCTGTTTTGGTACTTGAATGGAAGAAAACAGGTGATCGGTGACGGTTGAGAGTTCGAAGAACACAGAATTTGGAGATGGGGAAGATTAAAAGCGCCAAACTACAGATACAATGGCAAAGGATGGATTATATTAGGCCCAACATCATTATATGTACTGGTGACCTTATCAAGCAGACAAACCACCTTATGTACCTTCCTCAAGGGTGCCATCTCATTTATACAGCCCCCTCCCATGAGCACAACCAGTTCATCATATCGTCAACCCAGCTGCTTTATACGCAGTTGGTGCACTGGCGGCACTGGATGTAATGCGCCTGATGACCAGCATCATTGCCATTGACCGTGTTGTACAAGTTGGCATCGCCGGGGTACATAAGGATAGCGAGGCCGGAGCCGGTGCAGTCTCCGTTGCTAAACTCCAAATGTTAGCACGTGTGTCAACAGTAGGGAAAGGCACTCAGAGGTACGTACGCAAAGAGACGGCAAATGGCGCCCTGGTCAGGGCCAGCAGAGCCAATATGGCCATCGTAGGTGGAAGGAAGCCTGGTGCAGGTGCCTGTGATGCCCAGGCTCAGAACCTCGCACGTGTTTTGCCAGTTGGAGCCGGTGCAGACGTAAACCTGAACGGAGAAAATGGTGAGCTTCATGGCCTTTGATGAAAACTCTGGGGAGAGAAAATTCGTGGACTAACATTGCCGGGAGTACGAGCGACAAGCTGAGGATGCTCAGCCGAGGAAGGAGCAGCGAGGACGGGGGAAAGGACAGACAAGAGGGTGATTGTGATGGCGAGAATGGACTGCATTTTGGCGGTTGTTGGTGGTATTAGTTGAGAAGTTCCTAGTCGAGGGAGAGTAATAAGAGTTGAGAGTTGAGAGTTGAGTAGATGATGTTGTGATGGAAGCTGTGGATGTTGAGATTATTGAAATATCTGCCTCAATTGGAGGGGGGTTCCAGCTTTTTATACTCAGAGAGCTGAGTTAATGCCTCTTAGGCTTCCCCAACACCACAAAGCTATCACCGGCTAAGCATAGCTACGAGTCTACGACACGAAGCATACTCATCAACCGTACAACATCCACTCTTTTTTCACTGCATCGCTCCAGCCACAGTCGTCATGATGGTCATGGCCCTAGTCAGAATCCAGAGGCGTGCTGGGTCTGGAGGATATCGGCATGATCTCACATGCAACTACAAATTGCAGTGAGATACAAAACTGAAGCAGCTCGGCCGTCAATATGGTCCACGGCCATGGAATATTCGAACTGATGATACCTCGCAACGCGTACTGCTTTTTCCAGTCCAACAACGTTTGGTTTCCTGGCCCCGAAGCGGGTTGGTGATCCTTTGAAATTCCTGTAGATCAGAAGACTAATAATTGTTGTCTGGTAGACAATAAACGTTAGGTACTCTGGTATGTAAGGTTCAAAAAGGTGCATTTCGTGACCTTTCAGATGGTTGAATGGTGCATTTTCCATTGTAGCTCTGTGAGGTGCCTTTTGTTTAGTAGGGTTGCCTTTTCTCAGCCGCAAGGATACATGAACACGTTCCCGCCGCAGCCACGATTTGGATTGTCACACGGACGGAATACGAGGTTACTAAGCCGTCCTCTCGTGTCATGGCTAGCCGTATGTTAACAACCGCTATCATTGGCGGGTATCAGCGAATGGAAGCACGTCCAGATATTGACTTCCCGAAAAGCACCCACGGGCCGACGACATCAATTGTAATTATAGAGATGCTGCGGATCATGTCTCAACTTTGGTGAAGGCATCATAAGGCAACGACCGAGTACATCCGAGATCAACGAGCGACTCAATCGGCCTGGAAGAGCATCCAGCAAAAACGGAAGGAAGCTAGTGACCTGACTAGGACAGAAATTCGTTGGCACCATGTCGCTGTCTAGCGCTGACTGCGCTATCAAGTCACGACGTGCCTCTCGAAGTTTGGTAGGAAAATCGGGGATTTTGGTGGTTGAGCATCGCTAGTGCCGGAAGGATTCAACTACTTCAATTGTCGTGATGTTGCTGCCTAGTGGACTCCAATAGTCTCCCCTATTTTGCTCAACACAGCGAGGCACATGACGCCTTAGTAAGCCGCCACAGAGCGGTGATCGAGGATGCGACTCTTCCACTTTGCCGGATACCGTAGTCTTGAACAGTGCTTTGGCTGATTCGCAACACGGCCTCGTACTACTAGTAATCAAGTTGCGACTTGAAATCCGCCCAGTCGACAATCGTCAAGACATGCGAGATCTTGCCATGCTCGAGCCAGTAAAAGGCATGCTCAGCGAAATGCACCCGGCGCCCATTGGGCGTAGCACCACCAAATGGCTTGATGGGCAGCCCAGAAAATTCGATACGGACAGCAATCTGCTGCTTCGCCTCGTCGATCAGAACGGTCCGTGGCACAAACTGCAGGCCGGCAATAGCGTCAAACGCATTCTCCATCAGCTGGCCGTAGTGGTTCAGAGCCATTTCCGCTCCATTCCAGATCACCGTCTCCTTGCAGTATTGGTGTAAGTCTTGTTGCATGGTTTGCCCGTTGATACACGCGATATAATCGTCATAAAACTGTCGTAGGTCGATGGAAGACGGAGGCGGTGGGGGCCTGAACTTGGGAACTGGCACAATGTTGGGCGACTGCCGACGCTTCTCGGCTTTATCGACAATGTCTTGAATCTCGCTGATTTTTTCGTCAATAAAGTAGACAAACATATGTCGCGTGTATTCAGTCTGCTTTCTTTGTGAGGAAGCCATAAAAGGTGCTTGTACCAGAAGATCCTTGACCTTCAACCTCGCTGCGACAGGCTCCTCTTCTTCTGGCGTGCCAGTAATCAGGGTGACAATTTCCATTTGGGTACATGATCTGTGTGAAAATTCCTGTTTGAAGGACTCCACGAACTGGTATAGTGAGATATCCTCTTTGTTATAGGTAATTGTCCCGTGGACTTCATTGCTCAGGAAGCTCCATTGGCGTCGGTTGATGCGGTCAATGAATGATCTGAAGCGGCTTTTGTTGTTGACTTCGGTTGGAAGCGTGACGGTACGCTCCGAGTCAAATGACGAACTTGCCAGCGGGAGAGAATCGGAGAACGAAGGAGTTGCCACTGCGACAGAATCGGAAAACGAAGGAGTTTTGAACTCGGACTGGCCCAGCTGTTCTAACATTCTCGCGCGTCTAGCGGCATGCTCATTCAGTTCGGATATGCCAAGAAAAGAATTGTGGAGGACCGGATCACGAAGTTCAGCGTCTTGACGGAAGGTTAGGGTGGTTGAGGGATGGTGGGAAGGCAATGGAAGAATGTTGTGCGGCTCGGAGTCATCATCGCGTGCTGGTAATAATAGTGCGTCGTCTTCCTGGCTGGTCGAAAGGGAGGAGCGCGAGATGAAGGACAAGAGAGCTGCTTGTCCTGACGCTGGTTCGTCCAGCGAGGGATCCTCTGGGGCGTGTGAGTACGACATGGTAGCCTGAGTACGTGGAGTGAAGAATAAAAGAACCCCTCCGAAAGAAAGATTCAAATAGAAAAGAGAGTAAAATCCGTCAAAACTTGGGCGGAGCGTGTTGCACGGGGATGGAAGTGGTCGAGAGTAAGGGCCCAGACGGAAGACAAGGATGGGAGCTCGCGCGAGAGACATGACAGTGGACCCCGCCCATGTCGCGCTTTCACGTGCTGATAAGGTTGATGATAAGAAACAGCGCGGGGTTCAAGGCCGCCAGTTCCCTTCGGCTGTCCGTCCTGGCCCCACTTCACCCCAGGCCCGCCCAACAGTCGGTACCTCTACCTCTACGGGTATTACTGACCCACGACCCGACCCGGGCCTTTTCGGCCACTGGCTGCAATCCTTCCTCGAGCAACTTCACTGTTTCCGTCATCTTTCCACTTCCACTTCCACCTCCACTTCTCCCACCAACCTTCTTGCTGACCTCGCCCTTTCCAACTCGTCTCTTCCCTGTCCCTTGCTCATCCCAGGGATCCAAGCGCCAAACTGACCTTCTTCCGAATAGACACACATAACATGGCCTTTCGCTGCATCGACGCCCTCGAAAGCTTGACCATGCCAGTTACACCGTCCCGCTGCTGAAGTTCTGCCATGGGCTCGCCGGAACAATGATGTTGGAACACCAACACGATGACCGCACTTATCTCGCAACGTTGACTGCCGTGGCAAAACGTCAAAATCTGGTCTCACCCAAGACGGCATTGTTATGGACACACGCCGCTAGTGCCACGGTATCACCAAGTCACGGCAGCGTTCCAGTGCTACGGTGACATGCTTCTGTCATTATGCGAGTAGTACAGAGTACAACTACTCTTTGTGCTCCCGGCCGAACAAGCAGCATCCAGACTACAGCGCAAAAGAAATGGAAAAGAAAGCAGAGAATGGAGTGAAGACATCACGCCGCAATGACAGCAGCAGGCACGAGATTTGACAGGAAATTGTTCAAATGACTCGAATCAAGAATAAGAAAAGAAGAAACAAAAAGGAGGGAAAACAAAAGCATCTCGCCAGACTTTTGCCTATCCATCCGTTATGATGTTATCCGACCAACTGACAACCCATTCTCCAAAACACCAAACGCCATTCACCCACCCCCAATGCATAATCATAGAGGTTTATCTGACAGAAAAAAAGAAAAAAGGACAAAGGTTGGAACTGGGTATAGTGTATGTGTCATCACCATCGTGTACTGACCCTCCATCTCTTTCCTTTTTCTTTCTCGTGCTCGTTTACCCTTACACTTTTCGCCAACCTCCTCCTTCTCAACACGCACACGCATCATCTCAAGCCATGTCGGTGTCCTTCCAACTAACTACCTCTCGAGTAACCTCCGAGGACTCGACCTTGTGCTTCAGGTCAAAGTCACTATCGAGGCCCCTCCTCAGTTTCACCTGTCTCTCCAGCAGTGTGACGAGCAAGCCGGTTCCTGCGAGACCCAGGAAAATGATCCACGGCGCCCTTAACCCCAGTGCAAAGAGTGACACAATCTGGGCCTTGACCTCCTCTCCAAAGCTGCCGACGAACTGGGCCGACGCGTGCTCGTATGCTCTTCCTTGGGTCAGCGCCTCCTGTGCCTCCCTGTTGGTAATGGTATGCAGGAGAGTTGCCACCTGAGCATTGAAAGCGGCATTGGGGACGGCAACGCCAAGGAGCGACCCGAGTCCACGCAAGAATGCCCATGACCCGGTTGCCGCCGCGTTATCCTTGTCTGTAAGCTCTACCAGCACGCTGGGAAGCGTCGTCGACACAATAATTCCGGATCCAATGCCGACAAGGAAGGAGAACACGATCCATTCCACCACTCTCGACTTCTCGGCGTAGGCGACGCAGCATGCGAATCCGACCAGCATAAGAGTAAACCCAGCTTGGTGCATGTGTCGATATCTGCCAAATTTTGCCAGTAACGGGCCACCGACGGCGGATAGCACTACGATTGTCAAAGTGCAGGGTAGAATGAGAACACCCGACTTGGTAGGGGAGGCGTTCAGCACGGCTTGGAAGAACGGGGGCAAATAGAACTGGTAACCGTATGTCAGGAATCCGTGGATGATGGTGACGATGAAGCCGGCAACGGTTGTCCGGTTGGAAAAGACGTGTGGAGGCATGATGGGGTGCTCACACCATCGGCAACGTTCCCAGAATGCAAAGCAGAGAACCCCTGTGAGACCAGCGGCGCCAGTGCCAAGTACCATTGGGGATGTCCAGGCGTAGGCCGCGCCGCCGAGTGTGAGCGAGAAGAGAAGGAACACAACGGAAGACGTCAACAACCCAATCCCAAGAAAGTCCACGCGCCCGAGTTGCTTAAATATTGTCAGCTTGTCGCTGTCTGTCGAGCGGCCGCTGCTGACCTGAAGCCACATCCACATCATGACAAGGGATATCGCGCACACCGGGATGTTGACGCCAAAGCACCATCTCCAGCCAACCTCAGCAAAGATACCACCGAGCACAGGGCCTACGGTTGTCCCCAGAGCATACACGGCAGCCTTGATTGCGACATAGTGACCTCTGCGCTTAAGTGGAATGATGTCGCAAAGGATAAGCTCTGCAAACAAGTCAATGCCACCCGATCCAAGGCCCTGAAAGATACGGCCAAAGATCAGCACGGCCCCTGAGTTGGCAAATCCCGAGACGGCGCTGCCGGCACAAAAGATAACCACCGCCACCATCATCAGATGTCGGCGGCCCCAGATGTCGGCTAGTTGGCCGTACAAGGGCTGGCAGATGATGGATGCCAGCAGGAACGCCGTGGCAACCCAAGATGAGTTTGGCCCAAGGCCTAGGTCTCGTGAGATTGTCGGGAGGGCGGTGCTCACCACGCTTCCCTCAAAGGCTGAGAGTAGGATGGGAACACAGAGCCCAATGAAGCACCGCCAAAACCCGACTCCTCGAACCCATTCGTTGGCATTGACCTCGGCAACTTCCGTCTTTTCGGACAGCGACACAGTCGATGGTGTGCTGTTCTCACCGAAGCTGGTACATGATGAGGACTTGAAGTCGGGGTCCTTTTCGTCGCGGCAGTATGCTGGGCTCGGCGGGTTCATCATGGCATTGGCCTTCAAAGCGGCTCGGACATTTTCTGGAAACTCCGTCGAGGTCGCGTCTGGCGTTCGCATTGTATTCGAATGATCCGAACGTGTGATGGTATAGCTGTTGAAGAAGGGATAGGAATCTTGTTCCTGGATAGACAAAAGATATGATGATGGTTGAGGACCAAAGCATTGAGGTAAGTCGCCCGGAATTTTGAGCCATCACCGTTGCATTTAATACACCCTCTGGATACAAATTTGCTTTGAGTCAATGTTCAACATCGAGAGGCATTGGTCCCGCGATCTGTGAAGCGTTGTCTTGACGATCCAATGACACCGTCACAGACTCACTGGCATTTTTTTCCCCACCACACCGAGGCCAAGGGCTATCTCCATCACATCACTCATGGCAGGGACGAGTGCACATCCACGAGGCGAGTTGCCAGTACAGTGGTATGTACTTTAGGTGTGATGAGAACTTTCTCTTTGGTTGGGTCGGTTTCTTGGCCCCTATCACGGTTGGAATGCTACCTATTTCACAGTGGCCATCCACGATCGACCTCATCTCCTCCTTCACCTTTCATCCCAATCCCCGCGGCCAGACCAAAGCAGTCTCCCCGTGCAACTGCAGGACTGTCGGTATGGCTGTTGTTGACGGTTGACGGTCACCTTGGGAACGCTGTGCTGCCTAATACAAAGATTACTGCTCCTTTCCTATCTTCTGTCAGATTCAAGGACTTTCTGCCACGTCCGTGGACCGGTAGTACAACAAGTCGAGGCAACCAAGATTTTACATCTGTCATGGACTGTAGCCCAATGGCTTGCCTTGGCCACACGGGTCTCTCAAAGTGGCCAACTGTTTACCTAACAGTTACTGACTGCCCTGGGAATGAGCATTGTGCCGTCATCAAGCGGCGGCTACGACAGTGTACTCAGTGACTGTCTACTTGTCACGAATGACAATCTATACCAAAAAAATGATAGATTGGAGAGGCTGTTGTACCCAGGATCGCGCGAGTGGATTCGGAAGTACCCCGTCCACCATTCGATACGCCGACCTTTACATCATCTAGGCTCTCTTCAGCTACTCGAATCCAAACAGGCAAGAGCTTGCGGCTAAGTACCGTGGGGCCTGTTGAAATGACATTTGTCCCTGTGCTCTACCTTGCTCTTCCTGGGATGTAATTCATCAATTCTGGCACGAGGCTCGGACAGCCTCGAGATGGGTATGACACAAGGCATTATCTACGAATCAGAATGAGCTGGTCCCTTGCAGCACCTGCCAGCTTGACATATCAATGATTTTTTTCATTGGGTACCATTACTTCGACTCATCCCTTAGCCAGAAGCATCTAGATTCTTTACACATCCGAGTACATTGCCAGTCTCAGAAAAGAAAAATGGTTCCCTACCTTGTGCTCTTGGTATAGAAGGAGCCTTCTCGTTTGCGCAAGGTTGGAGAATTCTCAGCAAGGCAAAATTCTGATTCAGTAGAACGTCGTATTCTACGAGTCTTCTGTTACACCAGATTTGGAACAGGTTCGGGGGCTCGAACCTAACATGCGAGTGCTCTTTTTCTGCCGATTTCGGAAGCCGAGAACCTCTGACCTCGAAATCGGATCACAAGGCACTGCCTTGCCTGTCGGTTTTCCCATCCCCACGGTTCAGAATCTGGCCCATTACACGTCAGGCGAGTAGGACACAGAAGCTCCCGAAGGGGTTTCGGCAGTCCACATCAGGAGAAGAACATAGTCCGTGGTGGATGTTGTCATACCTCACAAATCATCTGAAACATCTGTTTTGCAGCTTCTGCATGTCTCAGAGGTCGTGGTGTCGAGGACTGAGGAGGCATTTTTTCCCTCGGGGCTATCCGTCACTTCGATCTTGCGGTTGTCTATAAGGTTTTGGATGTGGTAATAGCGCGCCGTCCACTCTTTTCACTTCATCCGTAACACAGCACATACAGCACATGACGCAGCACACTTTTACCTTTGTTCTAATTCACCTGCAGCATGACCGTAACACTGACATCAGACATTCGGCACACGACTCCCTAGACTCGAGGCTGACTACAGGTCGCAGAGTTGCTTAGTCCAGTTCCACCTACAAGGTCGCAATTTGTGCGATAATATCACTCACATCGTTTTCATGCAGCTCATGGAGTTGCCGCAAGACTGCCAAGCCAATAATCTTTCATACAGGCACCAGACATGGACGCCGTTAGGGAGGCGCAGCGGTTGTTATCATGACACTGCATGTTATCTGGCACTTTCGGGATCCCAATCGGGTAATGCGGATGCAAATTGACTTGGGATGAGATGTGAGTGTAAGACTGCGGAAAATCGGTGAAAGAAGAGACCACGACCAGCTGACCATATCCAAGAGGAAAGATTACCTACCTAATCTTCACAAATATGCGAAGACCTGGATGAAGATCTCCCGGTGAAGATCTCCCGTTAACATGACTTAAAAGACAGTAAGTGATCACATTCCTGCGCAGGCTTGGCACTCAGTCCCTAATTATGTTTTCTCCCGCAGCTGGTTTCCGTTACAAATACGCATTCCCTCTTGAAGTTGGTGCTGCTCAGCATTAGTAGGGATGTCCTTGCTCTTGAAGCGCTCTCACCGACTTTGCTTCTTGGTTGCTCGTCAGAGATGAGTGAAGAAATCTTTGTCGACCAAAGGCACAGTTCGGCCTGGAACAATACGGCACAGGACCTCAAAGTCCAATAGCTCTATTTCGCCAAGGCTGGGGAATGTTATGATCAACCCCGGGCTCGGACCCTGACATCTCAGCTACCAACCGCTGATGCGCCACCGTCTGACGTCAACATCAGCCTTTTCTCCTTTTAACTTTATCATTCTTGATACCTAACATGACACTGATTGGTGTTATGATACGCGGATTGCATACGCTTGTGAGCCTCTTACTGTCCCCAACAGCCCTATACCTTGCCGTCATGCGGGTGTCCGTTAAGATCATGAACATGTCCTGATCTGAATCATGAAAAGGCCCTCCGATAATCCTGATTTCCCGTAAGCTTCGATTCAATAAAATCCAGCCAAGGAACACCCAAGCCTCTTAGCATACCGCACATGAAGAGCACCGACTCGCCTATGTGGCCGCAGCCATGATCACGGCATGAACTCTCCGAGCTTTCCCCTCCTCAACCTCCAGACATTCAGTTTGTCGGTCTCATATGGCTCCCTCCTTTACTCGGTGCTGGTGGTCGGTGGTTGGAGGTCGGTTGGTCTTGGCTTTTGTCAATGGGGTGGTAAGCATAAGCCAACATTCCGTCCGTATGGGGTTATGATCTAGTCTACCTCCGCCCCTGGGCCCCGGCCAGCCGCAGCCGCACATGTTCAATTCTCCCAACATGGACGGCGGATGCTGACCTGATATCGACACTCCGTACCCATATTCATAACACCAAATCCAGGTTTGCCCCGAGAGCCAAGCGACGGGTATATGGGAGGAGGGAACCTTCAGCAAGCCGGCTACGTACGGGCCAACGGGACGTGTTGACATGTTCATGATCCTCAGATTATCTTTTCTTTACACTTACCTAACCTATTCACGTCCTGAATGGTAACGAGAAAAAATCATTCTCCGAGTAAGACGCCAATTCGCCAATTCGTCAGATGAGCACCTTGCCAATGCCAAATGGTAGTATTGTTATTGTCATTGACATGTAACAGAAAGTAGTACGCTATGTTAATGCCAAGTTCTTGCCCATTTTCGCGTGGACGCGGTACAACGTGAGGATGCAAGTATCCGGTAACATTGGCATTGACAATTGGACTCTGGATTCTAGAGAGAGAGTTTGCACCGTGCCTTGATCAGGCGATCTCATTTGAGGAAGCTCAAAACTGACTTCAGTCCGTGTCTTATGAGGATGTTGGAGAGGTATATTTCCACATCTGGTGAAGCTGCAGTTGGTTTAAGAATTGCCTAAAGGGATTACAGATGGCCTCTCCAATGTCAGGTATTGCCTACCTAAGCGAGTACGGGGAATCTTCATCGACCAGTACCTAGCTACGGGCTTGTTTGAACAAGTCTCCCATCATTTTATGTTACTTCCTTGTGTGCACATCGTCGTTTGCATGCCGTCCGGTGAGTGAGTCGGCCACTCAATGGTACTGTACGTAGGGGTAGGTAGGTAGTCGCTTCCCGATTCCCCTCGGGAGTTCAAACAAAGAAGTGGAGGAATGGGGCCCGGGCTCGGATGACAACCAGCCGTTCGCCGAGCGTTCAGGAAGCACCTAATCTCTCACCTACCTACCTACCTACCCACAACCTCAATTTTATCAAACTTTTTCAGTCCCGGACTCGATTTCCGATTTCAATGCGGGGCTAAAGCGTTGCCACTTTTCGCAAGCGAATGTTCGTCGGGATGGTATCATTCCTTCAAGTTTCCCCCCTGACTGAATGGTTTAGCCCACGATCGCCAAGCATTTCAATGATCGACTTTTAGTTATTAAATTAGTGCACAGGGGGTAAGTAAATGTTAGCGGGAGAGCAGCGCTACAGCACGACATTGTCACGCTACACTACCACTTACACTACACAACACGCAAAACATCTTGACCGTAAGTAGGTAATCTCAATCCTATTCTAGATGCTCCACATTTATTCCCGCTCCAGCTCCTCGGTCGAATTCCTTTTTGTCTGAAATGGCGTCAACTTGCATTTCATCCCCATGCGAGAATGTGTTAGTAGAAACCCACTCAAACTACACTACCAGATATAAGATTGAATTTTCGGTAAACCAAGCCTGGGTACTAAGGACTGCACGAATAAGGGGTAGGGCTAGCTAGGTAGGTCCCCGGCCGTCTGCACCGGACCTGGCTCCCGGCGTTCATGTCACGACAAAAAAGTTATGCGCGCCCGCGCGTAGGCCAAGCATACATTCAGTCAGGTTGTCTGTCTGTGACTGTGATGAGAATGTATGTATTTCCCGAATCCATCCATGTGCCTTATAAGAAAAAGTGGAGAGATGCTCGCCAAGGCCGTAGAAAGAGGGTGGTACATAAACCCGGATTTGTTTGGCGTCAGCCTCCCAAATGAGTCGGCGTAGATCTACCACGCGCCAACCGATTGGTCTAGTCCGATCTTGGATTTAGACTACATTCCATCTCAAACAGGGTACTTTCCCCCTCCTCCTCCACACCCAAAGGGGGTAGCGTAGTACAATACGGTGAAGAGAAGCTACAAACGGCTTCATCTTCCACCCCCCGGCCCCTCATCGTGATCCGGAGAATCAGCTAACCTAGGTACCTAATCTTAGCCGAGACCCGAGTTATTCGTACACCGAGTTCTTTACCTGCTGACTCGTTGGAGGCTCAATGGCTTGCGTTGGTGTGTGTGGGGAGATGAAAGTGAGGCACCTCGAGGGCTGTGGAATGAGGGGAGGAGAGGGAGGGCTTGAGGATGACTTGTGCAGAGGCAGGTTATGACCCGTTGGGGCAGTGGCATCGGCCAAGGCCAAAGGCAAGAGCGTCAGGCTAAAGAGGGTCTATATAAGACCCTTACCATGTCTGCCTCGATGTTGTCATTTCCCATCACAATCCAAACATCGCCCTCATCGGACCGATCAGCAAGCTACCAGACTCCAGAGACCGCACGGTTTCAGACATTGTTGTCTTACTTTCCAATCTTCCGAGTTTGCGGCAGCTTCCTATACATTCATATTTCCTCAGCTTGTCCCACAAAGCCCACCACCGGTCCGGGCCAAAACATACCTTACCAACTTCCATCAAAAACTTCCTGCGATACATCTTGTTAGTGTCACACAAGTCACAAGCAATGATTGTCACCCAAGTCCTCCTCCTGGTCGGCATGGCCTTCAGCGCCACAACCGTCACCGCCGACCCCATCATCAAAACCTGCCAAAATGTCAAGTGTGCCGTCCGATGCCAGATGGTCAATGGTCACCCTACCTGCGTGGATGGTGGCCCTCCCAAAGCTGTCGCAGCCGCCTCTGAGGAACTCGTCAACGACAACAAAACCTCCGTCGTCACAGGCGAGAAGTGCGGTATCACAACCTGCCCCACCGGACAAACCTGCTGCAACGCCTCCTGCGGCCTCTGCGTCTCTCCAGGCATGGCATGCACTCAACAAATCTGCGAGCCCGCCGGCGTGCAATGTGGCCCCAACGTTTGCTCCGGAGACACACCTGTCTGCTGCAATAAGAGCTGTGGAATCTGCACCGCTCCGCGTGGATTCTGTACGCAGCAGTTTTGCGAACGCGGGTTTACCCCCAGCGAGAGCAAGAGGAACGAGGAGGCCGATAAGATCAAGTTGGGAAACCAAAAGTGCGGGAAGGCGACTTGCCCTGAAGGAATGAGCTGCTGTAACTCTAGCTGTGGCATCTGTGTGAAGCCGGGAGGTGTGTGCACTCAGCAGTTTTGCGAACACGGTTTTATTTCTGGCGAGAGCAAGAGAGAAGAGGACGCTGAGGAGATCAAGTCGGGGAACGAAACTTGCGGGAAGGTGACTTGCCCTGAGGGGACGAGCTACTGTAACTCTAGCTGTGGAATCTGTGTGAAGCCGGGAGATGGGTGCACTAAGCAGTTTTGCACCTAGTGCGGATGCTCAGACTGTTGAGGATGCTTGAAGGGGTTGAAGGGCGTGGTGGCGGTATGATGACATAGGATAACAGGGAGTAGTGGAGGTGGCTGGCCGGGCTGATTCGAGGTGAGAGGCTGCTGGCTACCGAGCGGGAGGGTTATGGTTGGTACGGGTACCTCGCGTTGGAATGGGTGAAGATGTCCGGTAGGAATGGCGGATGACCGGCATCCTGGTGGAGGGTGGAGAGGGTTTGATGATTTCATTCCATTGGGTTGGGTTTTGTCTGATGTGTCCTTGTTGGGGGCACAATGGGAGTATAAGGGATGATCACGGTAGTTATGGGACAGGGAATCACGTACTCGATTTTTGGGAGGTTTCTTTAGATAATTTTCGATTGCTTCATCCTCTGTGTAGTTGGAGGTGATGCTCTTTGTTGGTATTGCGTTTCAGTTGGAAGGCATTCGACCTTGTTAATGGTGTATTCTTTTCTTCGATATTCATGTTCTTGTTCTGATTGAGTGTTCGTCATCTCGTCCTATCGTGAAGTTGCTTTGTCGATTTGATCTGACAATGCATGTCTACCTGCCCAAAGTTTCTGTGAGCTGTCAACACTTGATGGTATGAGCTGGAAACTGGAGATTGGGTAGCCGTAGAAAACGAACCGTACCACTGGCGCGGGCGGGCCGTCAAGTACTCCAAGTAAACCGATATATTCGGCTCTTTCTGTTCTCTGGATCCTGCGACGGCTGTCGACAAGTCAGATGGCTAGTGTAACCACCCAGTGGCCTACATGGCTTTTTCTTGTAGTCTAGAGTCTGCCTCCTTCGCTGCCAAAGCAACCCGAAGGGGGAGGTTTGAGTGCGGGAATGCGATCGTGATGGCCCAAGCTTTCTTATATCGAGGTAGAAGTAAGATGTCAGAGGCAAAGCGGTGGTAGGATTGTTGAATTGATTGCTTACACGAAGAAGATTGCAGAGGAGAGGGATTCAGGTCAACACCCCGGAGTACTGTACATACCTAGAAACAGCAAAATGACATTCAGTTGGTAATCCACGGCTTCCATACATCGTCGAGGTCAAGATTTCCAGTGAAGGATCATCGGTTTGGTTGGGAAGGAGCAGGCAAAGACTGCAGACTGTCCAGGCATGCCGCATTGTACATCTGGCAAAGTGGCCAGCACCTGCCCCAGAACACCCGGCAGCAGCAGGAGCCTGGGCAGAGCAGGTTCGACCTTGGTCATGGGCCGCTGTTTCCTTTCTCTTTTCTTTCTCTGTCTTTTCTTTTTTTTCTTTCTTTTCTTCTTCAATTCTTTTCTTTTTTGTCCTTGCTCCCTTCCTTTAGCCTCTTGGTTCCCTTCATCATTCCAAGAAGACCAAAGAATCTTGTTTAGTATCCTGTCGAACAAACACTGCCCCCTTCAAGGTATTTGAAATCATTTTTCGTCATCAAGAGTGTGGAGTGTCCAGATATGCGACCTCTGTCGAGACGGTCTCCTCGTGTGCACCCATCACGGCAGCCATACAACCACAATTATCAGTCGCCGTAATAGCCACACCTTGAACTCCATGTTGCCGGACTGATTTAATTTCCGGGTCTCGATGGGAACCACACCCTGGGCTTTTTCTTTTTTTTTTTTTTTTNTTTTTTTTTTTTTTTCGTCGAGCCCCGGTTGACGGGAGTGACTGGCCGGTTCGCTGGTCGGCTATCGCCAGGCTGACACTGAACCTCGATACTGTCTCCGTGTCCAACATAGGAACCCCTCCCCACGCAGTCGTTTCTTCCGGATCCGCTGCTCCCGCCCAAGTACACCACTCAGGATGGCGTTAAGGATATCCGGGTCGAGAAGGGTTCGAACTGCGTCCAAGCACCCGAGTAATGAAACGAGTGCCACCAGCCCGAGATCATTCAACTGCTACAGGAGTACCACTGCAGTTATGACCCGGACCACTCCCAAGAAAAGGTGGATGCCACTCGTAGCGGCAACACGGTGAATATTGCGGTCATGGCAGGCGGGAAGGCGGGCAAGTTCAAGGTCACCACCTCACTTCCATCAGGGGCATCAGCGTTGGAGAAGGCATCAGTCGTGATCAACATTGGCGGCATGCAGAACCAGCCATATTTGAGCGCGGAAATTGCCACTGGACGGTTCGGTTATACGTCGATGGCGCCACACAGCAACTCGAAGACCGGGGCGTTTTGGAACACCTAGAAGAGAAGAGATAGCGGTAAGTTGGATTCCCAGCAGAGATGGGAGCATGCTTGCCAGGCTGGCGATGCTAGCAGGCGCCTTGACAGCCTGGGCCTGTGGTTTCCACCGGACACTCGATGCGCTGAACATGATCGACGCGAGTCGGGTCGGCGTGACAGGGCGTTCCCGCTTAGTATAGAAAAGGGTGCTCTTGAAGCCGGGCTCTTTGACAGTCACCCACTTCGACTACCCTTCCCAAGGCGCAGTGAAAGGGACGTCGTGGCGTATCGCATCAGATGAAAGGGATCGAAAATCAAATTAGGGATGTTTTCCAGAGACACCATAAAACGGGATGTTATAGCGAGTTGTTTCAGCTCGAATCCATGTCATAGCGAGTTTCTGGGTCAGGTCCTATGGGAGATGGCACGTGCTAACTTCTTTTCGATAGTATGAAGACGGAAGATGACCAAGTTGGGAGCTTGGCTCGTTGAAATTGAAGTTGCATGTTCGAGGTTGGCCTTAGCAGAGACGGGACCTTCTCTGATTGGCTCAACTTTTGATATCCCCCCCTGCAGGCATCTAATCCTTGTTCGTCAATCGGCAGTCTCCAAAGCGGCGACTCCACCGGCAGCTTCAAGGGACACCCGGGGAGCATCCACAGGGGCCGTTGTAGCACCCGTCCCCTGCTGCGCCCCAAGCTTCTGGAAGTTGTTGCCAAGTGGAATTCCCAAACATCATCGCCTTCCGTTTTGTGTTCATCTTCAGTTTCATTATTCCCACTGCCCGAGCTTGGCTTTCCAGTTCAGTTCAGTTCAAGTTGTCTCAAGGCTGGAGCTGCCGGATTGCCCTAGCCGCCCTTCTAATCCTTCCCGTTTCCATCTTCCATTTTACACTACTTATCTTCTTTCCCGGGATCATCGACGTCACTGTCTCGTTCCCGTACGATCCGATCTGGCCTGTCGTGCCCTGGAGGATGCTGATTCGAATCTGGACTAGATACTGCTGCTGGAGACCAGGACACATTCGCCATGGACACGCTTCAATATGGGGCGCGAGGTCGGTCTTCTACCTTGTCTGAGCATCCATCATACGTGTGATCAGCCAATTGACCTCTTGCTAACATTCAGCTTCTTCTCTCAGACCTCCCATGGTCCTCGATTCCGACTGACCTCCTCCGCGCCGAGCTCTCGAAACGCGTCGATGCTACGGACAAATCCCGCCCGCAATGCGGTTCCGGCGAGAAGGGTGAATACAACACAGGGCTACATGTCTTTGCACTTGTCTTGATCCTCCTGTTGAGCACCTTGTGTATGTTGGACCGTCCTGTTCCCTTGTGGTTTCTATGGTACTGACTGCTGGACGACACGACAGCCTGCGGATTTCCTCTCTTCTCGCGCCGAGCCATGAAAGGCAGCAAATTGCAACGAAAGATCATATTCTTCAGCCAGTACTTCGGCACCGGCGTGCTGATGGCGACCGCTTTCGTCCACCTGCTCCCGACAGCCTTCATGTCTTTGACGGACCCTTGCCTACCATACGTCTTCAGCGAAGGATACAAACCGCTTGCCGGCTTGGTTTCCATGACTGCTGCCTTGGTCGTCGTTGCCCTCGAATCATACCTCACAACACGCGGAGCTAACCATTCGCATTCGCATTCGCATGCCATCTTCGAAGACGAGGAGGAAAACGGCCATATGCACAATGATACCCACCATGACTTCAAGGATACCCCGGAACGTATCCCGCTTCAGGATCGTGAGGTTGCTCAAGGCCTCATAGGCCGACAGTCTCCCATTGCCAGCACCAGCGCCCACCATTCTCCTTCCGACCAGCCCCGAGCTTTCCGAGACAATGACAGCGCTAATTCCCTTGATCTTGACTTGACCTTTGACGAGCTCCAGCCTATCCCAAACACCGATCATGACCAGCTTCTTGAGCCCAGAAACACCAGCCCTTATAGGACGGGACTGAAGCCTGCGGTAGCTCCCGATTCGCCAAACCCCGAAGAACAAAAGCGCATGTTGTTGCAGTGTTTGCTACTCGAAGCCGGTATCTTGTTCCACAGCGTCTTCATAGGCATGGCTTTGTCGGTCGCAACTGGGCCTCCGTTTATCGTGTTCCTGATCGCCATCGGCTTCCATCAAACGTTCGAAGGCCTTGCCCTGGGTACACGCATCGCCGCCATCCACTTCCCTCCTTCATCCCCACGGCCATGGCTCATGGTATTGGCGTTTGGCACCACCACTCCCATTGGACAAGCTATAGGTTTGCTTATCCACACTTTTTACGACCCCCTGAGCCAAACTGGCCTCCTCATGGTCGGCTTCATGAATGCCATCTCCAGCGGTCTTTTGTTGTTTGCTGGCTTGGTGCAGTTGCTCGCCGAGGACTTCCTGTCAGAGAAGAGTTACGCAACGCTTCATGGCCGGAAAAGACTACATGCCTATCTTGCTGTAGTAGCAGGAGCTGGGCTCATGTCTGCTGTCGGCGCCTTTGCTTGAAGCACAAATCTTCCGTTGATTTCTTGTTGATATATGGGCATGTTTTGCATCTACTTGTGGTTGCATCATTAGCGGCGTTATCTTTCTGTATAGAGCATTTCTGCCATCACTGGTACCCCGGCAAACTTGAACTCTACTTGCCTTTTTGCAATGCCTTTTGCCTTCCGTCTTTGAGAGCACGCATGGACGCACTCCTCCTTTGCGAGGGCTAACGGCATGATGACAGTATCATCATGATCCGCAAGAAATACCCGGACAAAGATGGAGTGTAATGATGGCAGGGCATACAAACAAACACGCCACCCTATGTTTTACCCCCCTTCTGGGAAGACCCAGTTCTCCCGGATCGTATTCTAG